CACGCCTCACTTGACACATTTACCAAGCTGTAATTCCACTGTTGGTCATGTCGATATATTCCCCTGCCTCACCTTCTCCAGAAGATTGGCGATATGGTACGAAACACTCGCCATTTTCGTGGTTTATGTCGAGATATAACACCGCAGTCTTCCAGCCACTGTCCAACCTCCTCCTCGATGCCGATGACATGCATTTCACAACTCACCTCACTAACACAAAATATATAACATTTATGACAGTTATCCCAAACTCTTAATAAAAAAATTCTAATATGACTTAAATATGCGTGTTTTTTTTATGTAGTACTGCTGTGTCTTTAACATATGTATTATATTTTTGTAAGTACATTTCTTAATTCATCACAACCACAAAACAAACCTCTATGATTGGTCAACACAAGTGGCGGCAACTTTAAACTTGACCATTTTTTTTAAATTTTTTCTTGCATTATTTTTAGCACTGTAATGACTGCCTTCGTCGTTTACATTTATATTTTTAGATAATATCATGGTTAATGTTTGAGGAATGCATGGAGTTATGTTGGGAAATTCTCAACTGTAAAAAATATCCCTAAGTTCCCAGCCATAAGGGAATGTGAAAGAAATGATATGTTAGGATTAATGCACAGCGAATTAATTTTTTAAGGAAATTCTTTAAGTTTGACTGTAGACTACCCTTCCCCTGCCTTGATAAAAGAGACTTATATACACACTATGTTTGCCATTTCTTTTGTTCTCTTCTTTCTTCCATGGATAATATACTACACATTCTGGTCTTCACTTTTCATCTATTTTTTCCAACTGTTATTTAATTCCTAGCCCCTCGTCATTCTTAACTTTATTTATAGCCTGTATCATAATTCACCTCTTTCATCTGTTACATAAAGCAGTTACTAAATGTTTCCCCCATTTTCTTTATCATAACAGTGAGTCTTGATAACCATCTTTGTCCGGTACCTTCCATTCACTATTATTTGTGGTTCTTCTAGGCAATCTTAACACTGTATGAAGCTCCTCTTAGTACCACATCAATCCTGTCCACTTACAAATACTGTACTATCATATAAACCAAGTAACTATAGCCTCACACCACACATTCTTACCACTATCTATGTCCATTCATTCCTGGTACAGTACTTCATATTTTCCCAAAGTTCTATACACTTCCCTATTACCAGCTCTCATAATTACTCTCACTTATGTTTTAATACAAGTTTTCAGTCCTTGTAAAACTTCTCTTTCTGTTCTCCCATCTCTCAAACCATTCTACAGTGCTGTACTTGTGAATTATATATACAGGTAGTCTGATAACTCTTTGCTTAATCCTTCCTCACAGTATACAGTACTTTGTCACTTTCTTATGCTTTAGACAACTTACAACCACTTAAGCTTAGATGAGTGGTGACAGTTTTGATGGAATTATTCAACACTTAAATCATTCTCTGCCAGATAGCAGAAGTTGGCCTCCCTGTCTGCTGACATAATCTTAAGGGAAATGAACAACAATAATAAAATATTTATTTATTAAAATTCAGATAAAAAGAAGGGATTTTGCACGATATTAATCCCTCATTTATAAATTTATTAATGACATTCCAATTGTATGAAAGTTCTGATTCAGTTTGCCTAAGTTATTACCATCAGGTGATGAATGTCTTTATTTCAGCTTTATTTATAAATATTTTTTGGTTTCTTTAATATATTTCTTTGTTTCTTTTAGGTCTTGGGGAATAATGCTTTACCTTATTAATCTCGGAATGTACTTAAGTTTATAAAATGATAAGTCAGCTTCTTAAAAATTCTTGCTGACCTGTAACCCATGTACAAATTATTATAACATATATACAGTACTGTATAGAGATTTTTACGAAAAAAAAAAACACGGCTATTTGGCAGATAGCAGGTTAGACAGCAGCTTATTTATTAAACCATTTGCTGTGGTAGGATTAGAGTAGCACCTGGCACCTGCATCATGTACAGTGGATATTTTTTTTTTGTGTGTGTGTGTGTGTGTGTGACTCAGTGAATACTTATCCCTGGTTACAAAATGTTACTAGTAACTCAATGGGAATCGGTTGTTTACAAATTGCTGTGCATTGTAAGGAGTCTCGGCACAAAGCTAGATGTATGAGCAAGCAACAGGATTTTAAATTTTCTGCTGTATATTATAACAAATATGTATGCTCCAACATCTTGAGTGGCATTTTAGAAAGCAAATAACCATATACTTATGACCCACAGTTACAAGTGTTAAGGAACAAAAGGCTAGCCTTTATTTACATGACAGCACTGCCTCAATCTACTGAATATTTGCTTAAGGTTAAGTTGAAAAAAAAAAGGACAGGTGTTTAAGTTAACAAAATACTATTATTTTCAGGTGTATAAAAGAAAATAAAAACAGGCACATAATAAGCTAAATAATCTTCAAGTCTTTGGATTCATGCGAAGTCTTCGCCGAGAGAGAATTGTAAAGTATTAATAAAATCCACAAGATCCTCATCGTATTGTGCGGGCCAACATTGATATGGGATGGCCTTTGCCAGAGCCTGCCTGCTTCTTGTCCTTCTTGTCAACACCCCAGCACTTCCACATGCGGATTGTTTCATCAGCAGCTGCACTGACCACCATCTGCCCATCAGGTGACATACACAGCTTCAGCACTCGGCCAGTATGACCTAAAAATACAATTATCTTGAATTCATACCCAATGCAACAAACTTGCATTAAATTATTATTTCTGAAATCCACTTCTTTCACAGAATTAAAATGATACTTTTTGATTATGCGAGTATCTGATTTTTGGGGGTTAATTTTGCATTAATTATGCTAATTAGGTGGTATCCAGTTTATATGGCCATCTTTATAAGCTGCATGCCTAAATTACCTGCTTGTTTGGTGAGAAGATGTTGTGGCATTAAGACAAAGGTACTGCACCGTTGTCTACACAGTTGTTATACATTTACAGGGTGGTTGATACTTCAGCGTAGGATGCAGTCATAAAACCCTCATCTAATACCTATTCTGAGTTAAAAATAATGTTGAGAAGATAAAAATAAATTATTATTCACCTGAACCTGAGACAGACTCACCCGTAAGATCTGCTACTTTTGCCATGGTTGGATACTTCCACAGGGTTAGTTGGTTGTTTGAGAACCCGTGTCCGGAGATGAGTTCCTTGTAGTGAGACGACCATAAGACAGACGACACCTGCAATACACTTGGCTATAAGAAGGTTCAAAATTAGATTTTTTTTATATTTAGAAATCATACAGTAGTCTTTCCTAGAGATGTACACCTAAAAAAAAAATAGTTGTAGTGATCTCACACCTCTTTAAACTCTGCTTAGACTCATTTTATGGTGAGCTAACCTGAGAGTTGGTCTGGACGTCCTTGAGACAGATGCCAGTGGTGCAGTTCCAGATTCGGATGGTTCTGTCAGCTGTGCCACCTCCTGTAGCAAGCAGGTTGTTTTGCCAGGGACACCATGCTACAGCCTGAAACCATAATTTTCATTAGCAGATCTTAAAAGTTAAGTACAATAAATAATTTCAGTACAATCAATAGATGAAATAATATATTTGTTTAACAAGGCTAGATATGACAAACAGGCAGTGTAGACATTTGATGCAGGGAATAAGAGTTGGACAACCCCCATGAGCAGTGATGAATGGGGACAGGTTAAGGATGGAGTGTTCAAGAAGCCATAAATTCCCCAAATATGAGGAGATATTATAACTTAATGTTGTTACCTTTACTGCAGCTTGGTGTTCCGTGAGTGTGTGTAGTGGCGTGGTGCTGCCTTTCTCCCAGATGTTTACTTGATTATCATTACCGCCAGAACCTAGATGCCGACCATCAGGCGACCACTGCAAACCACACACTTCCTGTTGGTAAAAATCTCTTATTAAAAAAAAAAAAAAGAATAATAAATTCAGTTCATCATATGATATGTTATGGGCGATGTTTTTGTTGTGGCTCAATATTTTAGACAGCTACTATAAACCTTTTCAACTAAATAAAGTTCTAGGCGTCCAGGAAAAACTAACCTGCGTGTGGCCGGAAAGTGTAGCCACATGGTGATCCGCGATGCGAACATCGTGGTGGAAAATCTGTCCGGACCGTGAACCAGACGAGAGAATATAGGAGCTCCAAGAGAGGGTCGTGACGCGATTCTGGTGGCCGCCCATAGTACGCACCAACTTCTGCTGGCCAACATCCCAAAGCTTAGTCACTCCAGAGCTTACACCCATGGCTAGAATATTACCTGTGGGGGCAAATTCAATATCTTAAGTGTGTGTGTGTACTTATCTCACTCCAGATCATTACTGAATGTGCACTCAAAAAATAGCACAGTAAACTTAAAACATGGCTTGAGGGCGAAAAATACAATACGTACACACAAGATATGAAACACGTTAATGTTTATATTTATACTTGGTACAATGTATATCTAGAAAATATTAAGAGAAATAAACAGCTGTAATAAAACGTCATTCAATACAAAATCCATGTTCAGTAGAATGGCACAATTTTGGGGCAACCAAAATTCACCTAGTGTCTAACGCCTTACCTTCTTCAATCCAAGACAGTGAACACACATAATCTGGCGCCTCAAGCTGAACTAAAGGAGTGATGGCACCGTCACCTGCATTCCAGATGTACACTGAGCTACTGAGGGCCACAGCCAAGTGATTATTCACACTCCAGTCAAGTAAATGAAGATCTGTGAGATAGAAAAATAAAAAAATAAAAATATGATTTAATTCTTTGAGGATGAGAGGGATTAATCATCATCCTCAAAGGGTTAAATATAATCATCAAAGGGTTAAAACATCATCCTCAGAAAGGTAAAAACATTGTCATCCTAAAAAAAGGGTAAACAAAATTCTAATTAACCCTTTGATGATGATGGTTTAACCCTTCAGGACTCCAAGGTATAAAGGGACAGGGTTGTATGAAGTGAGAGGGACACACCACATGGACACCTTGGAGGGGGACTGGAACACAATGGCACAAAAATAAAATAAAAAATAAAATAACTATGAATAACAGAAAAGTCAGTGTTGGCTCTTGATTCCTGTTCCCTTACATCTGAGGACACAAAAACATACTGCAGTTAAGTCATGTTCCAAGCAACTGGATTTAGGACATTCCTCTCTTTACAGGATGGAAAAGACTCACATTAAGCTTCAACATGAAAAATATTCTTCAATAAATAAAACTAACATATACATTAGTATTTTGTGTGTGTTCTCTTAAAACTCTCTAACCTTGTGGACTGGGCAGGATTAAGTGTAACTTCATTAATGTACAAAAGTCACCAATAAGATTTTTCTTTTCTTTGTTTACATACTGTACTGTATAATTAACACTTACAAGTCATTTCATTTACTTACAGTAGTCATCAAGAAGTTCTGGTGCGTCCAAAACTTTCTCAGGAACACTGGGGATGTGTCGTACTGAGGCGGCCTTGGGTACTGTTGGCTTTCCTGCACTGTACAGCACTTTGAGGTTGTTCACATAACCTGCACACACGATACAAATATTTCCATCTTAGTTACACTCAAGAAAACTAAAAGAATACAATTTTAGGTAATTTAATACCATATCCCATGTTCTATGGAACTACAGTGAAACCTCCATATGGACCTTTCTCCCCATAATGACTCTCGATATAATGTAATTTCATCTTCATATAGGTCGTTATAAGGAGGGTTCACATGTAATGGACCCTCGATGTAACGGACTTTTCTCTCCACATAGTCCGTTAAATAAAGGTTTCACTGTACAGTACTGTATATGTACCAATATTAAGATGGTCATGGTCATCATGTGTCAATTTTCCTTAAATTCTGACCAGTTCAACCATCACAACGCCTCATACACCCCACCTTCCTTCGCCTGCGGAGCTTTACTCTTGAATGATAATATTCTGGACTCTTGTGGCTGGCCATCATTCAGGTTTTCTGACATCTTTTCTTGGTATTCTTTCTGTGAAGATTTAATTCAATATAATATTACAGTATCAGCCCACAAATTTAAAACACTATCAAATTTCAACAACTGCATTAATGGAATCTAATAAAATTGATGATTACACAGTACACACACACACATGCATGCTGGTACTGCCAGAGAGAAAACTTTGATTGCAGACTGTACAATGACATCACCCAACACCCACACACCTGTTGAAGAGACAACTCATCCGCCTCACTCTTCTCTCCCCCAGATGCCTCCATGCTAGATACCAGGAGATGGTGAGAGCGCTCCAAGTCTGTGGTGCTGCGGTTGGGGATAAATCTGGTAGGGGAAAAAAAAAGAAAAAAGTTGTGATGTCTTTCATGCTTTGTGTGTTTAAATTAGAGGCACACCCACAAGGAATATGAACTGAGTTTTATACCTTCCAAGGGCTACTGTTATAATGTTCTCTTCTAGTCATTATTTATAATTGATCTCTAATTCTATACAGTACTACAAGAGTTGGGGGTAAGTACATGGATTTACTTTCATTTGGTCACTACAGCAGCTACATTTGTACTGTTTAGCTTTTCATGGGGGTGAACAAAATGATAAAAAATTCTTTAGACTCGCCTGTCCTGCTGGTTGATTGGAGTCGAGGGTGTCTTGCGGCTGGGAGTCTTCTGCCCAACCCCTCGTACCGATAACTTGGGAATACCACGCCCGGGAGACTTATTTCTACCTGAGGAATAATACTCTCAAACAAAGTACAGTGAAACCTCTACAGTATACTGTATAATGGACTTCTATCTCCACGTCTAAGGGACCCTCAATATATAGGATTTTCCCTCCCATGTAGTCCGGTAAATAGAGGTTTCACTGTGTCAGACTACTGTACATCAAACATGCGTGAACATTAACCAGAGAATGAGCCTTACTGTAAGGAGCCATGATTCCACCCAAAGTGTGGAGGACAAATATTGAACTTATCTGAAATCTTCATCGATTACGTCCACATGTTTCACCAAAGTCCATTATGTTGGCTAGATATACCACATTAACAAGATACCTGGGTGGACAAACAAACAAGTACAGTACTGTATTATTCCCATATTCCACACTGGGGACTATCAGACAGTGGGTTTAATCTTCACACTTATGAAACGGACAAGTCAGGAAGGGAGGCTGAAGTGTCTAAAATCTCACCCTGTACAGTACTTATTTGTTTCATAATTTGTTTTATAACCCCTTCACTGTACAGTATATTATTTTTTATTAACTAATATTTTTCTATAAAATGTTAACTTTGTCAAGATCACTCATATTTTGACTAGAAATTTAACAAGGTTCAGCACACAAAAGGAAGTCATCCTTGCAAGTACTTCTAACACCTACCACATGGCACCACAAGCTTGAGTTATCCTCTTTCTTTGCTTGCAGTGCTGGTAAGTGTTAATTTTTTTTGCAAGTTTTTGGATTATGGTAGGTTATTCTGGCCAAAAACTTGGGTCTGTATTGAGGTAGGAGGGAGGGGGTTATTATGAAAACTTAGAGACAAAGGAGGTGAAAGACTGGGAGGAAAGCGCCTCAACATGAGATGGTTAGACCCCGATATACAGTACAGTATTCTGAGTTATCGAGGGTTTACTGTGATTTGCCTTGATCATTGTCACTTTCTGTAGGGAACTGCAGAAAATCATAATGGAAGTTCTGACAATCTCCAAGTAGTTTCTCAAAATCAGTTGCCAAAAAAAAAAAGTATAAATAATATACTGTATAGTAGATTATAACCGAGTTTTCAGTGATGCACCACAAGAAAATTATGATTAGAGGAACAAACACTTGTAACAAGATTTTTCACTGGAAATAACTGTAGTAATATATGAATACAGTACTGGACAATGCTTCAACCAATTTTTCTCTGATTCTTTTGATATTTTTATACAGCAGATTTTCTTGCAACTATTTCATATATACATAGTGGTTGATTGTATTGTATGAACATATACACAAATTTCAAACTCGCAGTGATACCCGAGATATTGCTGCTGTACATTCACTTGTGATATAGCTACATATTATCACAAGAGGCACTGCATGGTAGTAATGGTGACTTCCAAATATATTTTGAAATAATGTGTTACTTTTCCAAATAAGGGTACAATGCAGTACAGTATAATGTAATAAGAAATATTTACTGTACCTGGAGATTTCCCCCTTCCGGGGCTATTGACATCAAGGAAGGACCCGGTGTGTGGAGTTTTGGCTGACTGAGGAGTGCCCAAGCCCGAGATGTTTATAAAACCTGTCAATTTTTAGAACATTAGAACAAATGCTTATGGTGTAACTACTGCACACATCACTCAAAAATGAAGGACTGATCCAGTAAACCCCATTTCATAGTCAAGACAAGAAGATTCCTGTTTAGTACAGGTCCCATCGAGTCTCTTGGGTTGTAACTCGGGATCAAGTTTCCATAAAAGAACCAAACTCTTCAATAAACTCTTGGTCTGGACGTTATTGATCTGGTGGTGAAGGTTAACGGTAACTTCTGTATACTTTAAAAGAAGATCCAATTAAGTCATCAGACGCTTGCTTCATGGTTGATAAGGTCAGACAATATTCCAATGCCACTCTTCCACTGGGTGTTCTGTCCATAAGGACCTGAGAATATTGAATGTGTCTTAACACAACTACGTTTCAGTAATACTGTACAATTCATATCCCAGTCATGCTTTTTCTATAATCTCAACAATATGAATTACCTTACCAGTGTTTCACACTGCATGGATACTTAACAGGCCCAGAGAAGACACCGCAAGTGTTTTGAAGATGAGAAATTAATACTCTCAATCACCCTCAGATGCCAAGACACCATCATGGCCGACTGATTCAGGAGATACAGCAAGATAAGATCAATTTACTCATGGGTGATGGCAAAGAAGGCAAGGTTGGTTATTCTTCCTTGGACATTTGGAGGCAATACTGTATGACCAAACATGAATGGTAACAATGAGTCGCTCACAATTTGCCATAGGCCCTGCATTGACTAAGTCCAACATCTTCTCAATACAAGTACAGTAGAGTAAAACCTTCAGTAGACATCGTTAGTACTACACATTTACTTTATCTCAGACTTTTGAGAAACTGTGGGTCAATACTGCCTTCTGTGCTCGTTCTATTTTTGTCTTTCTTTTTAGACGATGTTGGGGATAAAAAGCAAAAGCCAATCACAGTTATCTTAGGCATATTTTCTTCCCAGGTTAGAAAGTAAATTCAGACTCATTAGTGAAGTAGGAATTTATTGCTTCACTGGCTTCCTCCTTTGTATCTTCTGTAGGAAATCCTAACCATAATGAAGCCTGTTTTCATCTTACTGTAGGAATTAAGCCATGAGAAGCATCCCTTGTTTCATGACCCACAATTATCTATTTTTGGACCAACTGACTGCAGATATTCATGTTCTTTCCACAGGGTTAAATTTTCATGGCAGCTTCACACATCTGTCCCTGGTCCTTCCCCAAACTCATTCAGTGTTTTCTGCAAGATAGTGGCAAATGTGTGAGGCTGTGCATGAAACACTGAAAAAATTTTGATCAATAAATTAGTCTCGTCTTTCTGTTCCCTTCAGCTTCTTAAGACACCCCACAGCTGATTGTCCAGGGTGTTCATCATGAGGGTCATGTACGCTATATACAGCTGCTCCTCGACTTACGATGGGGTTAGGGACCCAAATCCAGGTCGTAAGGCAAATTGGTCGTAAGTCGAAAATGCTTAAATAAAACACAGATAATCCGAAATGGGTGTCTCTTTTTCTTCTCAGCACCACAAAACTCTCACTTTTAAGCTTGCCAGCCATTTTAAAGTGAATTACAAACAAAAATTTTGTCAGTACACAGCGCAATCACTAACGTTTGGACTCAAAAATACGAAATTTCACAAAATTTTCGCACGACTGAGGCGGCCATAGGTCAAGTATGTTGTAAGTCGAGGAGTAGCTGTAGTCTATAATCTTCACGCCAGTTGAGGATTTTACCCCCTCGGAGGAGATCTGTAGTCTCATTACACTAGTTAAATAACCATCAGAAACCACATATCCCCTGGGATATGAAAGTGAAGTCCTCCTCAAAGACAGTACAAGAGATATGATACTGTACTGTACCAGCCATTACAGGACAAACCTCAGAGGGATTGTGCTGACTTGGCCACTGTCTTCTTACATTTTGAACATACATAAGAACATAAGAAAGTGGGATACTGCAGGAGGCCAACTGGCCCATACAGGGCAGATCCCTTTCACACCCATCCCAGCACTTCCATGTGCCTATCCAACTTCGTCTTGAAGCTCCCTAGCGTCCCCGATCCTACTATAGCACTCGGTAGCCTATTCCACATATCCACAACTCTATTACCAAACCAGTGCTTGCCTATATCCTTTCTGAATCGGAATTTATCTAATTTAAAGCCATTTGTTCTAGTTATTTCGTTATTACTGAGCTTCAGAACATCTTCCTGAGCTTCAGAAAGAAGTCACTTTTATTTCTTGATTCTGTACTTCCAAAAAGGAATAAAATACATAAACAATTACACATACAACAAGTTTGGCATAGTTAAGGGAAACAAAAGTCCCTGAAGAGGTGTTGCTTAAAATGGCCTTGATTTGATTAAGTTAGAATAGATTTGAGGAAGCCCTGTGAACACTTATAACAACTAGGTCAAGGTAAGGAAGTATAAAGGTTAAAAAAGATGTAAACTGCCTTGGTGGTGTGGCAGCATCCTCCATGCTAGCTCCACTGTGAAGACCACTGTATACTAATAGTGCAGCCTCCTGAAGGTAAGGCAAGATTAATTTACCTATAGTATCACACAAAGTAGAGTCTGCAGTCCCTTCCCCTAAAATAGGACTAACTCGGACAAACACCTCGACCATGAGTTAACCATAAAATGGGAATTCAGGATCAGCTGTAAACTAAAGCCAACTAGAAAGGACGATGCCCAAACACTCCAAATGCCATGATCACAAACACCCTAAAGGAAGTAAAGGCTACAACATTAACACAGTATAAGCATAGAATAAAAAGAACAGATAAAGGTACAGTACAGTATATTATAAACATCAATGTAGTAACTTATAAAGAAAGAACCCATTTTTTTTTATTAAACCTGGGGAAGTAATTTAAATGATTCAGTGAACACCATAATGAGACCCTGGGAATATGGTTCCTAGACCTGCTAATTATGCAGCATTCTTAATCCTGACATGGTTTATAAAAATACTATCTCAATAAAGTTATTTTTATTTCCTAAGGCACTTTTTTCACCTGCATATTTATCTGAGCTACACTAACACACACACTACATCTCAGCAAAGTGTTGTATATATTGTATAACTTTAGTGTATTATACAGTACTAGAATATTACACATGCTTGTTTAAAAATGTCAATTAAGACTCACTGTTTTCATTGACGTTCAACGAGTGGATGCCTTGTTCCTGAGCTTTGCGTTGCCAGCGTGGTATTGGCCCTCGCGTCAGCTCTCCATCCATCCTTAATGCTTCGTTCAGATTGGCATCAAACTGCAGGTGGGACATCTTAAATTTGGATAATACTGTACACTCTATACTAGACAGGGGCCTGACTCTTGAAGCAGGTGACACTCTTAACCAGTATTTGTGTCTGGAACAATGAATCGAAGGAATTATCAATAATTGAATAAATCACAAACTACAAATCATTCACTAAAATTTTAACAAATTTCACTACCATTAAACATTTATCTCTTTAGTTAAAAATAAATGATTAATACAGGTTTCAATTTTTAATTATATACATATTTGTATGGCAGCAGATATTGTGCCGTCACGGGCTAAGTTTCCACTGACACTAGTTTACCGTGAGTTCGCTTTGAGTGGTTAATCGTTCATTACCTGCGAACAATGCGAGAACTATATTTGAACGTAACTCTGGCAGCACCTGGCATTTATTTCGCCGTGAATCGATCGTTGTGGAGTTATAAACATACCTAACTATATTTCTGTTGTGCTTGGAAACTTATCATTATAAACGAAGCGAAATTTACTAGAACCAGACCTGACCATCCATAAAAAAACCTTCCTAACCTTACCTAGCTTCCTAGCCAGGGGGGGGGGGAGACCCCCGTCATATTAAACGGGAAGTACTTAGCCAGTCAGGGCGCACTCACGGTAAAATAGCGTTAGTAGGATCTTAGCCAGTCAAGGCAAAATATCCACTACGTATTTGTTTACCTGCACTGTCATGGATATTATTTGTATACCTCTAATGCCTATGTAAATACTACACTACAGTGAGTATATTTTTTAATGGAATAACATAATCTCTCAAGGTAGAGTATAAGTTAAATAATAAACTAGGATGACTCCTTGGTCTGGACACACACGGGGTGAGTAGACCATAAACCTTTACAGTTTTAATACTTCCTCTGCCTCATTATCGCAACAGATGCTACATTAATATCAAACTTAGATATATAGTTAATATCTAAGATAACAAACTTACCCTCAAAAGGTCAGATGGTGTAATAGTGAGAGGAAAGTACTGACGGGCTCCTCAACCAGTTTAAATGTGTCAGACTTGGGGATTTAAAAGGAAGAAAACAATCACCAAACATTCATTTGTTTTATACTCTTTTTGTTTCGAATAAAACTTATATTTAATCAATATATCTCAATTTATAATTCAAATGATATAAAACAACATTGGTGTTTATTATTAAATTAGAGATGAGTTTTATAAAGGAAACATATATCTATGAGAGACTCATTTGGTGTAGCGGGAAATTTAAAATGAGATTTGCATTTAAAAGCAGAGTTGTTTGACTTCATTCATTCAAAACTTAAATAGATAAAGTTACAAAAAATTAAATACCATAATGAAACCTTAAATAATGATTTCCCATGATGCAAGCTTAGAAGTGATTTATTTCTTTAATGAGGTTCACATCAACATAGTCAAGACAGTCTTTCATCAGAAGCTTTACACCTTCACGCGCCTGTTATGTCTCAAATCAATCGGAAACAATATTGTGCAACATTTTCGTAAATAATTGTTGTCAGTTGGTCTCAGGTGTACACATTAAAGGTAAATTAGAGTATTTCGTCGCAGGTTTCCTCTGGGTACTCCGAAGGGACTGATAATAAAGTTCACAACAAAGTAAAAAACAGACTAAAACTAGTGAGCTGATAATTAGTGAAATAATAAAGTATCTACTTATATCTGGACCAAGCAGAAAACAAAATTCAATAGTGATAGTGTGACAGTATGATAAGAGGTGATACTGACGGGAGGTACAAAAGTCTCAGAATCAGTTCGTGTGACATCTACAAACTGACAACTACAAAAATCTTCGTTCATTAAACTTCTCAACTTATAACAAACGTTCACTGATCTTCTAATTGTGTATTTATAGTCACGATATCATAAGGTTGAGAAATACAGGAGTAACTGTACTATATTGTTGTGTAGTTAACGACACAATTCAAGCATGCAGGAGCGGGGGTCAAGCAGCTTGCCTGGGAATATCAAGTAAGTTTTCCATATGTGTTACAGAAAATGTATTCCTTTTGATAGATTTTCTTGATCGCAAAGATTTGAGAACGATATATTGATATCACCATTCATCAGAGATTACAGAAATATACATAGTATTGTATTTAGTGATCGCCACGTGATATTTGAACTAATTGAAAATGGCAATCATTCGATAATTCCAAAAGAGATACATTATTCCCTGCAGATGTAGAGAGGTAGTGATACGTGACAGCACACTGAGATTTGAGACATTACCATGGGTTATTACAAGAAAATGTAATGTTAGGAATGAATCTACCGTATTGATTTGAATGATGAACTCTTGCAATTAAATACCTGTAAAACACAAAGATTATCCACGGAAATTACTGACTGAGGATAACTTGTTCATAGACGGGCGAACAAATTGCTCCTGTTCATTCCCATATGCCTCGGGCTGGCAGTTGACGAAGGATAAGCGTTATGAAAAAAAAAGAAAAAAAGAGGTGAATAATTAATATTTGAAGATATTCGAGCCAGGTGGTATTGCAATTCGTTTTATTAAAAGCACTTAATAAGCTGACCACGGAGATCCACACATGCTATTTCACACGATACGTATTATTATTATTATTATTATTATTATTATTTCCTGTAAATATGAGGGACACACACCATTGTAAGCACACGTACATACTGTACTGTATATATGCACACAGATTGAGATATACTGTACACACACACACACACACACACACGTCCTTGCTTAATCAGGTCATGCGTTAGTTATTGACCTCTGATTGATAGTGGCCACTCAGAAAACTTGATAACTTAGGAATAATCTGATAGACCATCGTCCATCACACCACTTGAGTGACGTAACACGTCCCCAACACCTGCGTTTCTCTCTCTCTCTCTCCTTAAGAAAAATATAAACATATAGTTTCACCTAATAACCAAGTGACACGATTAAGTTAGTATGAATTATAAAACACATTGATCAAAAAACCCTATAAATAAAGATTACGTCTTAAAGTCAATAACTTATTGATGACGCATAGTTTAGAGACATAAAATGTAAACATGGAGAGTTATAAACATTTAAACCTTTTCTCTCTCCGTGTTGCAGGGAGTTGGGTATATCACCGTCAGCAGGAGGGCCCAGGAATGGTTTGGGGTTTGCCATGACCACGTTCTTTCTGGTAGCACAGATGGCTGGAGCCGGGTTCTTGTCCCTCCCTAAAGCTGTCGCAAACTGTGGTACGCTTAGTTCATTTGTTGTTCTTAAGTGTGTCGGCAAGTGTTCTTAAATGTGTGTCTTGTGGTTACTTAAAAGTTTCAGCGAGTGGTGTGAAGTGTGTGTGTTGTGGTTATTTCAGTGTATCATTAGGATAGGTCATAATTCTCTCACTATCTTCTCATCTGATGCAAAATACAAATTACAAGACTCCATATATCAAAATAAACATATTAGTGAGGATCCCGACGAGAAAAATATCAACTGATTATATGATGCAACATCAATCAACATTTACCAAACCTTAACCCAAGGAAATTATTAATTGGAACTGTTTTTCGTGAAAATGAAGAGGCAGAGAAGATAACTGAATGATAACAACTACTTTCTCTCTCTCTCTTTCTCTCTTCTCAGCGCTCCCTGTCTAGTGTGTTGTCTATCCTTCCTTAAAAAGACCTTTCAGTGAGACGAAATACTCAAGAGAAGGGAGCGTCATTATAATTATTATGATCTGATATGCTTACCACTCTGTTCCTTTAAGGCTGGGTTATAAACGACGCGTCTTACTCCCTTGTGGTGGATCTTAACTATTATCATTCACCTCCCTGCCGTCTAGGATGGATCGGGTTGGTGATGATGGTGGTGTTCTGCACTGGTGTGGGGTTCTCAGGGACGCGACTAGGGGCGTGTTGGGTCATCCTGGAGGAGCGTTGGCCCATGTGTTACAGGGACAGCTGCCGTCAACCCTACATGGAGATAGCTGACAGAGCGCTCGGTATCCACGGCAGGTAATCACCACGCATTACTGTCCTGATGTTTATAATATATCTTACATATGACCTCAGTTCACTGTGCTGGTTTATGAAGAGTGAAGTGAATTGTATAGTTTGAGAGAGAGAGAGAGAGAGAGAGAGAGAGAGAGAGATTAACAGCAGTACTGTATTCCCATAGACGTCTAGCCCTGGCCTGTGTTTTGATCACCCTGGTGGGAGGAACCACCGTGTTCCTCATCTTGATCGCCTCCTTCATGAAGGTGTTAGTGACCTCTGTCTCCATCTGTGAGTGGGTCCTCATCACCGCCGCCTTGGTCATGCCCTTCACCTGGCTCGGCACCCCCAAGGACTTCTGGTGAGTCAAGAATGCAAGGTGTTTTGAACTGAATAAAAAAAATGCCCCCCCCCCCTCAAAAAAAAAACACTCACATTTGTCTTCAAATTGGAGACTAAGAGGTTGACACATCAGGCAGGCGTCGGTGTTGGCGGTGACGACGACAACCATTGCTTGTGTCGTCATCCTGGTGGAAATCATCCTGGAGAAGGACCTACACCCTAACCCCGTCTACCAGAACCCCACCGTCAGCTCCTTCGCCCTTGGGTTCGGTGCCATCCTGTTCGCCTTCGGGGGCGCCTCTGTGTTCCCAACCATCCAAAATGATATGGGTAACCGCAAGCTCTTCATCAAGGCTGTTGTCGTGGCGTTTGCGGGTAAGTCATCGATCACTGGAACAACGGTCTCTGTATGATAGCTTTTACCCCAGAAGTTTATTTTGTATTCTTTTAAAAAAATATATCAAAACAAGGTATCAGATAAATGAGCTGCCTTGATAAGAGTACATGTCGCTTCTGACAGTAATAATCGTGTTGTTTACTGACCAGTTATCTATCAATTAATCACTAAGTTTACCTTATGTAATCCTTTGATACGATATTTATTTGTGGAATAGTGCGCAACACCACTGTACCGTTACTAACACCACTGTACCGTTACTAACATCACTGTACCGTTACTAACATCACTGTACCGTTATTAACATCACTGTACCGTTACTAACATCACTGTACCGTTATTAACATCACTGTACCGTTACTAACACCACTGTACCGTTACTAACACCACTGTACCGTTACTAACACCACTGTACCGTTAACACCACTGTATCGTTACTAGCACCACTGTACCGTTACTAACATCATTGTACCGTTACTAACATTGCCGTTACTAACATCACTGTACCGTTACTAACATCACTGTACCGTTACTAACACCACTGTACCGTTACTAACACCACTGTACCGTTAACACCACTGTATCGTTACTAACACCACTGTACCGTTACTAACACCACTGTACCGTTACTAACATCACTGTACCGTTACTAACATCACTGTGCCGTTACTAACACCACTGTACCGTTACTAACATCACTGTACCGTTACTAACATCACTGTACCGTTACTAACATCACTGTACCGTTACTAACACCACTGTACCGTTACTAACACCACTGTACTGTTACTAACACCACCGTTACTAACACCACGTTACTAACACCACTGTACCGTTACTAACATCACTGTACCGTTACTAACATCACTGTACCGTTACTAACACCACTGTACCGTTACTAACACCACTGTACCGTTAACACCACTGTATCGTTACTAACACCACTGTACCGTTACTAACATCACTGTACCGTTACTAACACCACTGTACCGTTACTAACATCACTGTACCGTTACTAACATCACTGTACCGTTACTAACACCACTGTACCGTTACTAACACCACTGTACCGTTAACACCACTGTATCGTTACTAGCACCACTGTACCGTTACTAACACCACTGTACCGTTACTAGCACCACTGTACCGTTACTAACACCACTGTACTACTGTCATGTATAGTGTTACTGGCCCTGTACCTGCCTGTGGCGACGACGGGGTACGCGGTACAAGGAATGGATGTGAAAGACAACATCCTACTTTCCGTGGAGTCCAGTAAGGGCATCGTCAAGGCTGCCCTGATGATGGAGGTGCTCAACTTACTGGGCACTTACATCATTACCTACAACCCTATTGGCCAGATGTTTGAGGAGGTGTTTAGCATTGAAAATAGTAGGTGAAGGAGGGAAGTGTCTGTCTGTCTGTATTTCTATTTATCTCTTATTCTCTCTTTTACTGTCTCTCTCTCTCTTTTCACCCCTCTTGCTCTGTCTGTCTTCTTGTCTCTCGTAAGCTCTGTCTGCTTGTCTCTGTTTATTACGACTATTCTGTATGAACTAACTATACGTATGCACAATCGACTTCCTAATTGTATCTTGATATCGCCATTTTCCCCAGAGTTTGGTTGGAAGCGGTGTGTCTTACGGTCGGCGATCTTAATATTCGAGGTGGTGGTAGGACTGGCGGTGCCTGACTTCGGCAAGATCCTCAACTTGATAGGAGGATCTACTGTCACACTCTGCTCCTTCATCCTGCCTCCTCTTATGTACATGAAACTCGTCGACGACAAGAGTAACCCCAGCTGGCCTCAGAGGTAAACAAACACAGATCATCAGCTATTTCCGCCGGTGTTCAAGTGTCAACAAACATCAGCTGATTCAGACGTTCGCAAAACATCTTATAAGTCGTCCTCTCACTTTCTCCCTCACAGACAAATCGAACTGTGGGAGCGAATGTTGCTGTGGATAATCGTTGGTGTGGGCGTGGTGGGCGGCATCGCATCGACGATCTCTGCCTTAATAGCCATCCTCAGCCCAGACTCCTTCAGCACATCTTGTTTCTCAGATTTCTATTTTTGAGAAATGGGTTGTAATGTGGGGCTGAAAATTAAGTCGTGCTTGAGTGACAATAAATTCAGTTTGGGTTGCCTGAAGTGACTGAAAATCGTTATAATCGGTTACATATGGGGGTTGACTTAGGAGTTTGAATGGTTAAATTACTTGAAATGACTGGGTTTGGTTGTTTGAATTGTTTAAGAGGGTGGCTGACAGATGTGGTTGCTTATAATTACCGTTTTCTGTGTTCACTGATATAACTGTTTCAATAAACATGGTTCTTTCCTTAAATTAAGTTGATTTGGTTGAATGACTGATATAAATAGAATCATTTATTGACATGTTTGTATAGTAAAGATTTTAAAGTTTCTAATTACGAGTTTTTTTCTGACATTCCTAATATAAATATAAAGTTTTTGTATTTATTAAGTACATAAAGCAATGAACCGAGAGACAGCCGGTCTAAAAAAATAATTACCGTAACATAGACCGGTGAGCCTGACCAGCATAATATGTAAAGTACTTGAGAGTATTATCAGAGATGCCGCAATGGAACATCTACGAAACAACCTTGTAAAGGATTGCCAACACGGTTTTATGCCGGGGCGCTCTTGCTTAGCACAATTGCTCAAGGTATTGGATATTTGGACCAATGTTTTGGACGGGGTGGTAATATCGACAATATTTACCTAGATTTTGCCAAGGCTTTAGACAGTGTACCCCACAAAAGGCTGAAAATCAAACTGGAAGGGTATGGAATTCGGGGAAATATCCTAGCGTGGATAGAATACTTTTTACATGACCGCAAGCAGTGTGTAGTGATTAATGGCACGAAATCATCATCCGTACCTGTCACAAGCGGGTTACCACAGGGCAGTGTATTGGGCCCGCTGTTGTTTGTTTGTTTCATAAATGACATGCCTGACGTTGTACACTCCTCCATACAAATGTTTGCCGATGACGCCAAGTTATTTCGGGAAATCAAGAACCAAGCGGACTGTGAAGAGCTGCAGAAGGACCTCTGTGGGTTCCAAGAATGGTCGAAGAAATGGCTGCTGAGATTCAATGTCACGAAGTGTAAGAGGATGCGCCTGGGGCGTACCAACGGTAAGGAGGCGTATCATATGTCCCAACGGGATGAAGAAACTGCACTATTTGAGACTGAATGTGAGAAGGACCTAGGTGTGTATGTTGACAATGAGCTGAAGTTCTCGGGCCATTGCAAGAAGAAGGTAAATCAGGCAAATAAATTATTGGGTCTAATAAGAAGGTCGTTCAGATATCTAGACGGTCCGTCCCTCGTAACGATCTTCAAGCGTGAAGTGCTTCCCCATCTGGAGTACTGTCACCCCGTCTGATCCCCGAGATATGCTAGGGACTGCCACTTGGTTGAAAATGTTCAAAGGAGGGCCACCAGACTGGTGCCTGCACTTCGGCACCTCAGCTACCCTGAGAGATTGGAGCGCCTGAACTTGCCTAGCTTATACTACAGACGGGCAAGGGGCGACCTAATTTAGGTGTATAAGCATCTCAAGGGGCACTACTCAGTCGAGTGTCCTTACTTGGAGCTGGCGGACGCTCGCCCCACAAGGGGTCACAGCTCAAGATTGAAGAAGCCACAAGTCCAGAAAACTGTGAGGGCAAACTTTTTCGGAGTGAGAGTTGTGAACTCTTGAAACAATCTGCCAGAAAGTGTTGTGACGGCACTGAGTGTGAGCTCTTTCAAGACAAGACTTGACCAACACTGGAGCGGATTCAGGAGCCGGTGCATACCCAGTACTCGCCAACAGTGCGTAACAGAGACGTGACCGATCGACCAAGCGGCTAACGAGCCGATCAGTGGTGAAGAAGATAAAAGTAAGAGTAAAATCTTTTCTAACTGGCTTAAAAGTATTTCAGAAAGGTAATGAATATAAACCGTAATTATGTGTTGGGTTTATCAATCATGAAAGGAGTTTTGAAGGGGGTTTTAGTCCAGTCAGTACAGTGTTTTATTGTAGATGATTTGGGATGCCAAGAACTTACATTAACATTATTTTGTAACATAGACAAGAATGCGCTATCTACACACAGGTTATATAATGATAACAAAGAGTTAAAGTTTAAAGAAGATTAACTCAAGGTAGAGGAGTGGTGGGGAGTGAAGGGGCGGTAGGGAGTGGGGGGGTGGTAGGGAATGGAGGTGTGGTAGGGAGTGGAGGGGTGGTGGATAGGGAGGGAGGGGTGGTAGGGAGGAGGGTGGTGGAGGGTAGGGAGTGAGGTGGTAGGGAGTGGAGGGGTGGTAGAGGGGGTAGGAGGGGGTGGGGGGTGGGGTGGTAGGGGTGGGAGAGGAGTGATATGATAGGGAGTGGAGGGGTGGTAGAGAGTGGTGGGGTGGTGTGGTAGGGGGTGGAGGTGTGGTAGGGGGTGGAGGGGTAACGGTGAGGCTACCCCTCAACTAACATAACTACGAAACTTAAAAAAAACTCTCATATGAGGAGCGAACATGTAGCAATGGTTTTAAATTAAGAGAAACTGAGATTTAGAAAGGACTCAAGTAAATATTGGCAATACACGTAAAACGAGTTGAAGGCGAGTGGCATAAGTTACCAAACACCATCATTAACTCAACTCACTGGTAAAAGTTTTAAGTGTAGACTGGACAGATATGAATTGATAAGGGTTAGGTTTTGGTGTATAAACAAGAGCTGCCTAGTATGAACCAATAGGTTTATATTCTTGTTTGCGTCGGTCTATTCTTCAATTTGTCTTGGGTGTCAGCTTGTTTTACCTATCTCCATCTATATGTCTCTCTCCACCACTCCTTTTCTCTCCATCCCACCTCTCTCCACCACTCCCTTTCTCTCCATCCCCCCTCTCCACCACTCCCTTTCTCTCCATCCCCCTCTCTCCACCACCTTTCTCCACCACCATCTCTCCATCCTTCCACCACTCTCCATCCCCGTCTCTCCAACCACCTCTCCACCACTTTCTCCATCCCCTCTCTCCACCACTTTCCACCCCCTCCACCACTCCTCCTCCACCACCTTTCTCCATCCTCTTCAATTCTCTCCACCCCCTCTCTCCACCACTCCCTTTCTCTCCACCCCCTCTCTCCACCACTCCCTTTCTCTCCACCCCCTCTCTCCACCACTCCCTCTCCATCACTACCCCCTCTCTATCTATCAATATCTTCCTCCATCAATCCATTTCTCTTGGTCATTTCATATCACACGCGCTTACTGCCTACGTTTACGATGTTATCTTGATAGTATAAGCGACCTCTCTCACTCACCCCATTTGGTTGGCGGGGTCATATCAATAAGTAGAAAGGATCATGACAACAATAAAAACAAAAGAACATCAGTTGAGTGTGGACAAATTAAAAATAAAAGCATCCAGTTTTATTCAAATATTTTTTGTGTGCTTTTTTCCCCCTAGATGTCTATGTACTGTATATATGACAATAAGGTACAATATTTATAAATACTGAATATATACCCAAAATATTTTACTTTTGTACATTGCAATTTTCCACAAAGTTACATTGATTAAAGAACACACTGAAAAGATAATTACAATATTATTCATCTTGTATTAATTTTATTTACAATTTGAAAAAAATAGCGTTATTTCATATTCTATTCTATATTCCGTGTACTTTTGCCTAACGGGTGAAATTTCCAGGATGGTATATTAAAGTTTTCAGACAATTTTATATACACACGTAGCACCAGCCCAAATGCGCCCCAGAAAATCGTACCTTGATTACTGTAGATACATTCACTTAACACCGGGCAAATTTAACGCATAGAATCTATAGGAAGAGACAGTAAGTTTAGGTTAGTTTGATGTCATTTTGAGTATTATTTTTGTGCTGCTAAGTCAGTCTATAACATATGCATTTACACCTTAAATTGAGAGAAAATTTGACTTAGGTCCCCTTGAACATCTGACATCAAAGAGTTTCGAGTCAACTTTATTTCATTAATCTCGTCTCAAATCACGAGTCTTCCCGTCACACTTTCCTCCAACCATGACACTCCTCCTGGTCGACTGGGATGAAGGTGGAGTGCTATTGGTCAACTGGGATGAAGGTGGAGTGCTATTAGTCGACTGGGATGAAGGTGGAGTGCTATTGGTCAACTGGGATGAAGGTGGAGTGCTATTAGTCGACTGGGATGAAGGTGGAGTGCTATTAGTCGACTGGGATGAAGGTGGAGTGCTATTGGTCAACTGGGATGAAGGTGGAGTGCTACTGATCGATTAGAATGAAGGTAGAGTGCTATTGGTATATTAGGATGAAGGTGGAATGCTCTTGGTCAACAGGGAAGAACGGTGGAGTGCTATTGGTCGACTGGGAAAAAAGTGGAGTGCTATTGGTTCGGTGGTATGATACTGAAAAGCTATTGGCACGTTGGAGGTAAACAAAACCCATTGATAGGTCGGAGTGAACTTAAAGCCCCATTGGTTAACTGGAGAAGCATTTTTTAAGCAATTTTGGAATGGAGGTCTGACGAGGTCTGTCATGGGGTTAACCACTCTAGTCAACTGCCTGCTGGATTTTCTGTGGGAAGGAAACAGAGACAACAGAAGAACTAGCGCCCACAACAGAAGCTATAATCTCCATATATGAATACATTAACTGGCTTGGATCGGATTGTCGTTAAGACTGGGTTATCGGATGAAAATAATAATTCTTAAATGCTGATGATCCGAATAAGACGTAAATTTCTTTTGGTTACTCTTCACACTCATTAAAGGTGAGAAAGCAGGACTTGTGGAAGGAGGCGACAATGATGGCGTAGAAGGAGGATACGGTGGAGCAGATCCCCCCTATAACTCCCACGATGATGATCTCCACCAACAGCGCCCTCTCCCACAACGGTATAGTCCTGGAGGAGTGCAACGAGGGAGAAGAATGAATAACACGCAGTGATTAATGTCTTCTTGAGTCGACCAGCCTATATAGATACAACATAAGACAAGATAATAATGTGACGGAACATTACCTATTAAACCAGAGACCTTTAGAGTCAGATAAAAGATCGGGACGTATTTTTAGTGTTAGGGAATAAACAAGATAGAAGGTAATAATAATAAGGAAAGGAGGTTATACTTCTAGCATTAAGAACTGAAGGAATAAGACAAGGTATAATGTAACACGTCAGGACTCACCTCTGGGGCCAGGGACCGGACTTATCATCGACGAGATTCATGTACATCAACGGCGGGAGGACGAAGGTACACAGAGAGATAACTGACCCGCCTATCAGGTTGAGGATGAGGGCGAAGTCTGGGACAGCCAGACCGATCAACACTTGTAGAAACACAAGCATCGTCCGCACCAAGATCCTTCCAAACCCGAACTCTGTGTTTGGGAGAGATGGTCAGGACTATGTATGTATGTATGTATGTATGTATGTACAGTGTATGTATGTTTGTATGTATGTATGTATGTATGTATGTATGTACAGTGTATGTATGTTTGTTTGTATGTAAGGTGTGTTGATCCTGATTAGCTGATGATACTGCGTTGATATGACGTGACTTTTATTTGTACAGAACACAGTACAATACACGAGAGGAGTGAATGACCTTTATTCTCTCACTCACTGTTAGGTACATGGAGAAGGTCCTCGACTGATTGGAAGACGGGGTTAGAGCTGATGACGAAAGTACAGAGGAGGTTAATGATCTGCAGGGCGATGGCCACTTCCACCGCCACCGTCAGGTTCACCGTCAGTAGGATGTTGCTCTTAACTTGGTCCCCATACATGATATACCCCGATAACGCCACCGGCAGGTACAGAGAGAGGATGCCTGCAACACAACAATGTCTCTTAGTTTAATATACGTGTGGGAGTCTGCCAAGGTTGTGTACCGTCACCTCGGCTGTTTGCTACATACGAGGATGGATCAACTCCACAGAATCCACATACTTTACCATATACTATAATTAATATTATAACAAAATAACAATAATCCCTAGCCCTCTGTAAGTGCGTGATGTGTCTCACCTGTAAAACCACAAGAGATGCTCTTCCAGAACTTAGAACGATCAGCCATGTCGTTCTGAATAGTGGGGAAGACGGCCGCCCCCCCGAAGGCGAAGAGAATGGAACCGAAGCCGAGGGAGAAGGAGGAGACGGTGGGGTTAGGGTAGTGTGGTTCGTCAGGCAGACTTTCAGTGTCAGTCAGAATCTGTACCACAATGACCACCACAGCCGTCGACGTTGCTGCTACAGCCAGGAGTGACGCCTGCCTGCGGTAGTGGAAAAACAATTTATAACCAAGACAATGCAGGGGCTATTTTCGTTTAATTAAGGGCGTGAATTAAAAACTGATTAGCCATGAGACGTTGAGGACATTATGACATTAATTTATAAAAAATAGCTTTCTTAAGGGTCATATCAACATGAAAATTTCACCGTCCGTTCGCCAAGTATACTGGGTGGTGGCTGTCCATATACAGTACATGTTATTTCCTGTTGAAGGGGACCAATGCGAGAGAGAGACTCACCAGAAGTCCTTAGGTGTACCAAGCCAGGTAAAAGGCACCACACACAGGCCCACCACGATCACCAGCTGACATTTAGTGAGACCGCACTGGCCTTCGGGGGTGGAGTGCATGAGGATGCTGGCGACCATCTCCGAGATGAGGATGATGAAGACAGTGGTGCTGCCGAACAGGTTGATGATGAGAGACACCAGCGTGATCTGCCTGTCAACGTGGACAACACAGCGGTGGTGACTTAATAACTCTGACACCGGGTAGGAAATTATAACATGGAGGTTGTGAATTAGACACTAAAATGTATCCAGACTGTACAAGATGATAGCAATAGTAAATAATAATAATAATAATAATAATAATAATAATAATAATATTATTATTTTTTTTTACTTACATTCCTTTAATGTTCTATCAAATTGCCTGACGACTTCCTAGTTTTTAGTTTGTCTAATTTGCTTACTAACATCGCAATAAATTTCTTCGTTATCTCTGTTGATAGCAGCTATACAGGACTTCGGGAATCATATCTATATATCTTTTCAGGGGGAAACTCATAAAAATATTTATCTATATTAATAAAAATGCCTGTGTGTGTGCGCGTGAGTGATGTAGCAACATACTCAAGAAATCACGAGTACTGAAATATTATGAGAAAAATTAAATGACTATTGGCTTTAAAATTACTCAAAATAAGTACAGAGAAAGTAAATGTGAGAAAAAAAAGATACAAACACACAGGAAGGGACACACATGAGCAAAAAAACGTAATACTGTACAGTATATATATATATATATATATATATATATATATATATATATATATATATATATATATATATATATATATATATACCTATATCACGCGCATATTTATATATATATATATATATATATATATATATATATATATATATATATATATATATATATATATATATATATATATATATATATATATATATATATATATATATATATATATATATATATATATATATATATATATATATATATATATATATATATATATATATATAAGAGTGCACATACCGTCCAGTTTTGCCAAGGGACTTCTCTGCTATGTCCATATAAGGTTGTCTGGAAGGTTGGCGGTATTGAGGCCAGCGTTCTTCCAGCATGACCCAACTCTTGCCGAGGCGGGTGCCGGCGAACCCCACCAACACACAGAACAACAACATCATCGGGATACCAAGCCAACCTAAGGCAAGTATAGAGTTAAAACAGAGTCGACATGCTAAGTCTTAGAAGTCAGGCCATGGTGGTTTTTATAGCATTTTACTTATTCTAGGCGATTAGCTTGTAAATTGATGACACTAAAGTCATGCTATATGTACAGTCGGGATCAAAATTCTTGAATTGAATTGAATTGAAACAGTTTGTTTAGCCAGAAAAACACAGATATAGAGTGGATAATAATAACAATATTAACATGGATGAGCCAGTTGAGTACCTGAGCTCTCTTTTAGGCACCTGATAATACTATACATTTATCTCAAGGAAGTATTATGTAACATTTAGTAACATATGGAATAGTACAATAGCATGGTGGTAATAACATCTCATAATGTTACCACGGTTATCACTTCAATATTTATTTTATTTATTTATTTATTATTATTTTTTGTTTATTTTTTTAATTATAAGTATGTACATAAATTACAGTGGAATGAAAAACATAAGTATAATGGGGGAGCAGTACAACATGGGTTGTACAGTATTAAGGTTGAACAAGAGGACAGACCTGTCAGGATTATGTCTAGTTGGCAAATATGTTTATTGCAATGGTAATTTCTTATCTATTTACATGATAATTTCCGATAAAACGGTTTTGATGGTACAATAAAAGCAGGTACAGTAAATATAGGAGGCATTACAAGAAATATTAATACTTAACATATCTGGCATCTACTTCTGAGTTATATATATATATATATATATATATATATATATATATATATGATTGGGATATACTACTAACACTACTTGTCATCACATATTATGCCTGAACCACAAAATGGGATCAAACTCTTCTTAATATTAAAGATCTTCAGGTACTTACATGCCAAATACGTCAAGTGTTCAAGACTTTTGACCCCGACCGTACATAGTACACATTTATTTATTATACTGCACTACAACATAATAAAGGACTCACCCACGTCAGCAAGACCCTTGGGCAAGGCCAAAAAGCCCGCCCCAGCCATCTGTGCCATCAAGAAGATGGAAGTCAACACGACGCTCATCCCTTGCCTCGGAACCTCCCCGCCATCGCCGCTGAAGAACAAATAATTTAGTCAAAACAGATGTATAATGGATCATAAACACGAAAAACGAAGACTAGATTCGCCGCTTTTCAAAATAAATTGTGTATCAGGTTTTCCCTCTGGTTAACCTAACCATTCTGAGCCTAGCCCGAGCCTAACGGAATTGATTCTAGGGTAACCTAACAAGTAACAACCTAACCTCGACATAAGCAAACCCGCCTAACCTAATGCATTCTGGTTTAAAGTAACTCACCTCATAAAAAATTAATTCAAACGATGTTAACCTAAGACTAACCTAAGATAAATCAAACTTATTATAACCGAATTAAACGAAATCTTGATCATACTTTTTAAAAAATCCAGCCTGGCCTATTCTAACATAATCTATTCTAATTTAACCTAACTTAATCTAACCCTACGTAACCTAGTCTAACTTAACCTAACGCTACCTAACCTAGTTAACTTAATCTAACCCTACCTAACCTAGTCTCACTGTTTCAAGATAAACAGATCTTTATATTCGTATAAAACAGAGGTACATTATTAGTTTAAAATACAAAAATGCAATCTCAAAAAATCAAGCTATTTAGACAGTTACAGAACGAATAATACAAGTGATATTAAAATTTTACAGACATTTTCCGCGCTTGCGTAGGTTACCACGATTACCTGATAGCAACTAGTGGGTAAAACCAGAATGGGAGGTCTCACCTCCCTCCCCACGCTCACCGCTGCTAACCTAGGGCACCAGCCTAGAAAATGCAGCAGAGACCAAGGCACAGCTCTGGTGATCTGGTTGCCATCAGGCATGTTGAAGCAAAGTTTTACAGCTGGACGCCCTTCCTAACACCAACCCACATGGTGGGAACAGCTGGCAAGGCAGGGTCGCAACTCCTTAAGGTAATCAAAGACTACACACCTGCCTTTTTAACATGTATATATTTTTTCTCATAAAATATCGGCTTTGACAGAATTCTTTTTCCAAAACACTGTTGCGGCGCCCTTTCTTCTGCAAATGTTTTGGCACAACCGGCGGGAGATCAATAATTGGCCCACCTAATTCAGATAAGGCAAATAGTGAAGATAAGCATAGCTAATGCATCATGACTGATGTAACTCCAGAATGCTCCATAGTATGTATATATACACAATTCTGTATTTTAGGTCACAAGAGAGGATGCAATTAACCTTCCTGCGTTTGAGGACAGACGGTTAGACACAGCACTGACCCACATTGTGTTCACAGAAGAGAGTATTAGAAATAAACTGTCAAAGCTAAAGGTCCATAAGAGTCCCGGCCCTGACATGGTGCATCCCAGAGTGCTAAGAGAGTTGTACAACGAGCTTGCCGAGCCCCTGAAGATCCTGTTTTGTTAATGCCTGGATGAACAAAAGGTCCCAGTGAATGGAAAGTGGCTTATGTGAGTCCTATCTTCAAGAAGGACGATCGTCACTCCACGAACAACTATAGACCGGTGAGCCTGACCAGCATAATATGTAAAGTACTTGAGAGTATTATAAGAGATGCCACGATGGAACATCTACTACGAAACAACCTTGTAAAGGATTGCCAACACGGTTTTATGCCGGGGCGCTCCTGCTTAACACAATTGCTCAAGGTATTGGATATTTGGACCAATGTTTTGGACGGGGTGGTAATATCGACAATATTTACCTTTTTGCCCTTATCACATCAGTGTCAGATGTTGCAAGATACTTGTTAAGGTTATCTACAGAGGTGTACTTCAGAGGAAGATTTATCTACCAGGATGTTGGTGATGTAGGCGTATCACATAGGCTATGCTTCCCACTTTCCTGCGACTCAAGTTCGGTTACGGATCGAATGTAAGGAAGGTTTTATAATTTAGTGTATATATATATATATATATATATATATATATATATATATATATATATATATATATATATATATATAAACACATGGTTCTTACGACTTGTGGTGATGTTATCTATAAGCATCACTATCTCCACACACTGCAATAGTAACAGATAACACCGTGACAACTTTATGACCAATGAATGTCAGATAACGGTGGACGCACTCGCACCAATTAAAAAAAAAATCTCCAGTATTCTTTTCCGCTCATCTTATAACATACTATTAACGTGACAGCGCTACAGTACACAGGCTATCCAAACACCAATGAAAAAGCCACATGACAGTCACTTTCCGCAAAAAATCCAATTTGGCCGGATGTATGAGACGGATTTCGGGTTACCATGGGAAAACACAAGGAAAATCGGAAAAGTTCGGTTAAGGGACACATAACTAACACATCACACCCATATGAACTCAGGTTAACAGATGAAGCACCGAGTTAACAATGAGAACTTTAGTGAACCCAGCAACAGAGACACCGTAGTATGCCACAACCATGATAGCAGTATCAGTCAAAACCTCCCAAGTGTTCGCCGGGTGGCCTACTGTAAGGTAGTGTATGGGATTATCAGCTTGGACATATGATAGCTAACTCGTGACACCAAATACTAGTCGAGAAGTGATTGGCAGTCCGATTTATTCATGTAGGACCATTATTTGACTTCATTGCGGCTACATTTGGGTAATTAGTCGGACCCCTGCAATTGTGTGTAAATGAGGCAGAAAGTCAGTCAGCAAACTAAGACTTGGTCACAATTTTTGTGGTGCCATATGGCAGCAGGGTCTACCATTAGACAACACATTATGCTTCCAATATCTTCCCAGGCGGTAGTACCTCCCTGTTTGATAGCTGCCTCCTACCTACTAGCCTACCTGTTACCAGTTAAACCCAGGTATACTCGTATACCACAACTCAGCTTTGTACTGTATTAAATAATTATTTATATTATACTGTACTGTTTAGAGTTGGCAGCGCTGCCTATATCATTATACTCGTATGCTTACGAACTCGGCTGACACTTACCTGATTAACGCGGAGATGGACACAATTGAATTTTTATCTGAAGACATACCGGTATTGTCTACTGTGTGTAGGATACACTTGTACCTTTTTCCCAAGGTTAATTCGACTTATTTGTTAATCAGAATGCAGGTGTGTGTGTGTGTGTGTGATGGGTGAGTGAGAGGACTGTCGTGTTGGCGAGTTGAGGGTGAGAGGTAGACTGATGACCATTTTGTGATAACCCGCTGGTCATTACATCACCACAACACTCAAACGTTCCCGGAGACAGATAACTGCTCTAATACTCAAAGGCCGAATCTTACATAAAACAGTACTATCAATTACACTCCACATTTACCTAGAATGAAAGCTGTGAAATCCAAGAGGCCCGACGTCTGATAATCTTAAGTTGTAACGGTGAACAAGCACTGTAGATAAAAAAATATTTATAATCGTAATGTGTGAATTACGGTCTCAGACCTTTTTAGTTTTGGCTTGCATTATTTGGCACACCAAATTGTCTCAACATTATTGAGATAATGGTAAATGTTTACAAGTATTACATAAAGCTACTACTACTAATTTCGGCATATTTTTCTTACAAAATTACAGACACTTTCTTGTTACAGAAACAGACGAAAAGTGGGTTAAACTTTGGGAGTAATATGTTTGAGTTCCTATACCGAACTGCGTTTTAGTAAGTATTGTAAGCTGCTGATTCCGTATGCAGGTCAGACTCCACCGAATTGATACATAATTGTAGCAGGAACGAGAGTGAGAGCTTGTCTTTATTCGCTAGAGTCGTTTGTGGCCCCAATTAATGAAAAACCAGCCTTTCGCCTTCACTGCTGCTGTGACATTGTTTTACTGCCAACATATGAAAACATAATTATATATTAGTTCATATTCATTTTGTGCCAGTTGTTGCAATGAGAGGATCACTTGAAGATTAGCCACCCCAGTATTTATTTCAGCAAAGGATTAAACATGCCAACGCCTCTGAGCTGAATAAAATCGTCTGGCGTTGACCAAAAAGAAATATTAAGTGGCGTCCCCACAGTGAAGAGGTTAAGGTAGGTTAAGTTAGGTTAGGTAAGTGTAACCATTAAGGGAGCAATAACCCGGTGTGGCTAAAATTCTGAGGTGATCCCAATAAGAAACAGTGTGAAGTGTTTCTATTAGAAAAATATTCCGAAATTAGTGGAAATAGCCTTTTGGGGGGGGGGGAGGGAATACTATACACTGAACTGTAACAATTAGGAGACATTCATTGATAGGTTACTGAGTTAATGATAACGACGCCGACTTGATAGATCACCGGTGATTTATGGTTATATCAAATCGGCGTTCGCTATAATAATTGATATCCTTTTGACAATTACAGTATTTGGATTTTCCAACATTAGACGATGCATATCTGTGTCTTTTCAACATATATTATTGATTCTCAATGTGAAGGAGGGCCACGGCTCATCATTTTAATCCTTCACAACTACACAGATCAATGTCGTTTTAAGGTTCATTTTGATAGAAGTGACAATGGCAGTATCGCGGTGAAAGGTTAGAAACGAACTACCATGTTTTGTGTCTTTCCTTATTAGTTTAATGAGTTCTGGTCATTTAATCTACAGCGAGTTTCGTCTGGTAAAACATTCTTATAGTTTTATCGTGTTATTTTTGCTGTGTTAAACCCCAATGCCTCCTTTTTCTGACCAATATCAACATATTTTTCCTGCACGAAGAAGTTGCACCTATTATTCTCAGTGATAATTTAATCTTTGAAGATTTAATGAGTATGACCGCTACCCTGGAACACCATCCCAGTGTTATATAACTTGTTTTGCGTTCAATTTTTAAAGCAAATTCTGCAACTTAAAAAACTATACTTCGATTGCAACGAAAATTTGTGTGGGAGTTAGTCTTATAATAGTGTATATATCCTATTAATTCCATCAAAATCTATTGATAAATTCTTTACCCCCCCCCCCCACCTACTGCACTTGTGGGGTTTCATGATGTTGGTTCTCACACTCAGGATTGGTTGGAGAAAGGAAGCTCGCAAGCTCTCTGTATACATATTGTATTGGATGTACAGTGTAGCTTGGTGCTGGGAAGTTGCAGCTTGGTTACAAGCGTGGAGTGGAGAGAGCTGGTTCCGGAGCGTGCTCAGAGGAGGTGTTGCTTGCTGCGTGGCTATAGGTAGAAGGGGCAGGTCACGGCGAGGTGAGGTCTTAAATAGCAGGGGTAGGCGTGGCTTGATAGTTGACCTTAGACCACGAGGCATTGGCTGGGGAATTCGAAAAGGGGTCGGCTAGTCAGCGACAAACGGCAGTTGTAGTTGTAGGGGAAATTTCCACTACACACTCCTCAAAGAATAAAAAGCAGAGCTGGAATATGCCTGTGGTCGCTGGCCACCCTGACCTACGGACACTATATTATTTATGTATTAATTCACTTATTTGTCTTAGAAGCAAGGATTTATATAAAAAGAAAGCTGCTCTTGACTGACTCAGGAAACTAGTAAGTCAAACTTGATGTTCTTACATTTGTAGATAATTATAAGATAATTTGTCGTTATGATATTGTTACATCGTAACGTATCAAGCGAGGAGGGTCGGCCATCACCGTGTTTTTATCAGGAGATTCAGTGAAGATAAGATATGATGATTATTACTTAGATCAGTGGCCGTCTTGAGAATAAAAAATACACGACATCAACAGAGGGAGAGTAGAAGTATTGGAAATTAGACGGAAAAAATTACAGCTGTTGTATGTACACTGAAAGAATCGAGATAATTAGGCTACATGTTGAACATCAAATTAAAATGATACAATTTATTTCGCTGACAGATTAAGATATCCTATTTATATTATCGGTGGTGGTATAGCAGTCTTTGTCAGGGAATATTTGAAGTGTGGTACAGTATATACAGTAAAAAAGTAAATAAATAAATAAACCTGATATGCATACAGGAGCAGTTCTGTTAGAGCTGAACGAAGGCAGGGAAATTTTAATTATAAGAGTAATACTGTACTGTATATAGACCACCCACATCTTAATAGGGTAAAACGGCAACTGATTAGTAATGTCTGAGGGAAAAATCCCCAAGTTCCAGAATTTTGTAAAGAATTGAGAAGACGGTGAAAGGAAGAGACACCCACGATTAGGCGTAAATAACATGACCTCATACACAGACTGGCTGATAACCTCACCAGTAGTGACCGCAGACTCAGAGGGTGATGTGGTGACCTGACCTAATCTGTTGTGTGACCGATGATGATGGTGATAGTGATTGTTGTGATGGTGATTGTATTATCAACAAGCTAATGTGAGCGTCTGTAGTTATTATACCTACTACTGGGTCCAGTCTAGTGATAGTCTCTTTATCTTTGACCAGGTTGGGCAAGAACGGTACGACAAAAAGTTAAACACAGTATTGCAATGAATATAATACATACAAACACTACATCCAGTACACTATCATCTACACTATCACTATCATTGTTTTGGTAAGAGCTGAAGCACACAAACTTACTTAAGAAATACTTCCCGGTTCAATAACAATATCTCTTGACGTCTTATATCATCAGTACCACTAAGGTGTCAACAACAATATCAGTACACCATTAAAGTACAGTATCAACATCAGTACCACAAGGTATCAACAGGGCGATGCCTCCTTATTGCTTTTACCTCTTAGTACCTGCAATTTCCTCACGTGGTGGGTTGGACCCCCACCACCGTGTACACTGGTGCACTGTCTCCTCCTTTATCATGTTGGGTCGTCAATTCATGGGTGTTCAGATTAGCGTCAGCAGAGGAATTTTGATTACTTTCATTTATAGCGTATTTATAACTTGCCACCATTGCCTCCGTTAGTGCTGTAAAGATACCGGTATTTTTGGGTGAAACTTGTTGAGGTGTGGCTGTAGAAGATGCTGGTGTCGTTTCTTTAGCTGAAGAAGGTCGAGGCTGAGTGGGTAGAGAAGGTAAAGGCCTGGTGGAAGAGGGTGGGGTTTCCCCCTCACTGATGACTGAGTGAGCTTCACTACCGTCCTCATTGGCCTTGTGTCCCTTGTGATGACATTCAACTACTGTTGGTGTTGCTCCTGGCCTCCCTTCTCCATCTGCTTCTATATATTGTGCTGTGGTGACGTTACTACCTACATCTTTGGGGGTGCAGGCGATTCCACCTTCAACAACAGCCGTGTTAGTATCTCCAATGATAAATTTACTCACATTAATTATTTTGTCAAAAGTAGTGCTAATCATACTGTCATCTTTATTTTTACATTCTTTTTGTTTGGGGTATGTTCTCTGGTACAGGGGACTGTACTCATATTCGTTTTCTTTTTCTTCTATGTGTTTTTTGCTCTCTTGTACAGTTTCCTCAGTCCTACTTGCTTTGTCCATTTTTGAATGACAAAATTTTCTTCTACATAGTGATATACACACATACACATTGGCAGGCAGCAGACACACCACCATGGCAACAAGCATGTAAACAACAACTTCCGGGAAGTAGTAGGATGGTAAGCACATGGTATTGCTGGTGATGATTGCTGGGTCTTTGTCCACCACCAAGTTCACGTGGCCCAGGTACTTGGTAACATTAACTACACTACCAGGGTGGAGATGGAGGGTGGCGTGAGGGATGTTTAGTTCTCTCTGGCCACTGAGGTAGAGGTGGGCGCCATTCCCCACTAGTAAGGCTTGTGTAGGCAGGTTTTGGATGGTGGTGTTGTGCAGGTATAGTTCTCCTCCCTCACTCAGGTGTAGCCGTGTGACTCTGTTTATGACGGAGTCATGTAGTTGTATGGTTTGGCGGGTCACGGGCTGACTCACCTCCAGCTGGTGAACCTTAGATTGTATGAGCGACATGTTCTTACTCAGTGACTCAAACACCACCTGCTCCAGCTGTGAGTGTTCAGCATGCAGCTGGTCCACAGATGGGGGAAGCCTGGTCAAGGAGGACTGATGCATCCACAACCCCATACCCTCACACCTGGTGGTGTTAGCTGCTCCATCAAGGTCCACCTGGTGGTCCATGAGTACCAGTTGGCCCACGCGGTAAACTGCAAGGTCAACACACACGTTGGACCAGAGACGCATTACAGCCGCATTGTAGATGAACACCTTCCTCACAGGAGGGCCAGGAGTGTCCTCCAGGTGAATAATCTGTTGGGAGACAGGCAGGGTGTTACTGTACCTTTAACTTATTACTGTCAGCAAATAACATTTTCTCATAGATAATGAAGATAAGGGTATGGATTCTTAAAGAATCTTTTTAATTATATTTTGTTAACTAAAGACAAGAGAAAATATTTATGTGGCTTTTTAAATGTACAGCTTAAAGATGTCTTCCAAAATTTTGTTTGAATAGTGCTAGAACTATATTATAATTATAATTATATGCATTTATTTCTCCCCACTTTCAGGGAAAAGTGATGCTTGGATCTTCACATACCCTGGTGTTTGTGTCTATTTTCTTCCTTCCATTATTAGAGAGAGTGTTACCTGGTGACCATCCTTGGCATCACATGCGAGGGTTGGCCCGGTGTGTTGACAGTGGGGGGAGGTGATGGACACGACTATCTCCTTTCCCTCCATCACCACTTCCCCAACACACACCACCACTACCATCAGCTGCCACATCCACCACCAACCAGCCATCCTGTGTGTATGATGCTTATCATTATTATGGCATCTTCATATTACCAAAATAATCACCACCACGACCACTAAAACTATCACCACCATTACGACAACCATCACCACAATCAGTAGTAAACACCACTACATACATCACCATTATTCCAACAACTACAGGATATCATCACCAAAAAGACTACTGTACTGTACTATCCTCACTATCACCACCACATCTATCATTATCAGCACCACCCTAATGCTCATTCACCATCATCTTTCATCACTAACACTGATGAACTACTTGATATATGGCCACACTGATCTTCTGGTCATGAAGGATCTGGCTACACTGGTCTTTGCATAAAATATATGGTCTCCACACCTGGTAAAAATTGGCTACACTGATGGTCTCCACACCATTAAGGATCTGGTTATACTGATGGGAGTGTGCAGTTGTGATTATCTTTTCACCTTTGAGTTCTCTTACCTATCTTATCAAGAATGTAATCAGTTTGGATGTACACCGAGTGAGTGTGTCCAAGATGCATGCCAAGTGCTTTGTAAATAATGTAATAAAAAGGTATTTTGTACAACTGGTGTATTTTTAGATGTACAATCAAAGACAAAACGTCTTGTCGCGGTTTTGTCCGGAAATTAAATATAACTCGTGAAACATCATGAAAACCATACCACAAGGCAGAGCGCACCAAAAGTTTTCACCAAATTTCACGACACGAATTTTGTCTTTCATTGTTCATTACACTTTTTTAACATGTGTAACTTGGATCTCCTGGTGTACTGTTTGAGACATGACCATAGTGATGTACACTATGTATATGTACAAACAACTGTACTACTAGAGACTTAACAAGTGTGTACCGTATGAAAATGTATAGTGAACGTATACATCCTCTCCTAACTTCAGTGCATACAGATATTACATTTACGGTAGGTATTGAAATAAAACACAAATGGCCCTTCTACCTGATATATTTTAGCTATAATGATTACAGGGATATAATAATTTCCATCATTCTTCACTAATTACCACATCTAAAACAATTTGATTTCAGCAACAGTACAATACGTATTACATTTTAACTTCATATCTTCATTTGGTCTCCATAGGAATACCACAAAATAAAACAAAAACTTTATTTCTGCAGTTTAATATCACTTCACAATATATCTTAATTAAGCAGAAAATATTAATTACTATAACAATACAGTATTTATGAGCTTATAGTTATGGCTAAATGTATCTCGGGGTGAAATGAAGAAAAGAAACTTAAGAAAATATCATTTATTTTACAATGAATTTACAAATGTACAAAACTATATATATATAAAAATCCTAAAACTATATTCACAACAATTGAGCCTTCACACAGCACTCCACCTTAGTCAGCCACAAGGTATGGCTGGTTCTTGCTTCAATATATCACGATACAATGATAGTAACCATTATAAGTTCTTGTTTAGTGCCAAAAGTCAACTCTGTTAAGGATTCCTCTTTACCACATACTACTGGCTTCTTATAAGACATTATGCTCTCAAATTTTTAAGCTGCAAATCCCAAGTAGCTTTTTCTGTGAAAATTCTTTCATAACTTTGTTATGAATCTCACAATGGCACATTTAAAACTGAATTTAACAAAAAAAAAGATACAACAAATAACATAAGACTAGATTTCAATCTTTTTAAGATAACATAAATATTACAAACATTCACATATTTGAAAAAATGATGAAACATCAACACTATGCACAGCCAGTATCATATAAACGAACATGTTACCACATTCAGTTAAGAATAATTATAATTTACATCCACAAAGAGTTTTAAGATAAATTTTCATCCATCTATCTTTCACCTAAAAACTGTCATATGAGGCACATATTTCCACTACAAAAGAGGTTGATGATTTTTTCAGTAGAGGCACTTCCTTCAACACAGTGGAAACAGAACCACCACCATATCTATTTGCATCACCCCATTGTAGGACTTGGGAAAAATATATGCCATCTGAGTAGACACAAGTACTGTGAATTGAGCATCAATAGTTCACTCTTGCATATTAGGTAATTAGTCAATACCAATGAAAATAATCACCATACAATATTTACATGTAATGCATTCAACTTAGTTTCTTAAGTTTGGAGGATAATGCATCTATAACAATGTCACGGTGTTAAAATAACTAATGGTTAATGCAATTTTCTGGCGTGTTTGTGAGATGAATCATGACAATTCCTTTCCAAAGTAAATATTCTTGAGAATGAGAACACTACAGATGTAGGATTGAACTCCAGCAGTAGATATCAAAAGCTGGCATAATAATTTTCAAGGAATTCATCAATGAAGATAGAGTAATATTTTCTCCTGATGTCTTGCAACAAGAGTGGAATCTGCTCTAGCACTTGCAGTTGTAGACTGTGACTCAAGATAGAGAGATGAGGTGTTTTTTGTGACAAGAATATGATCAACTTGATTTTGGTAAAAAATGCTCATAACTAGATTATGTCACTTACATACCAAGTAGAAATAATTTTTTTTTTACTAAACTGAAGAACAAATAGACATGTGATAGCTACCGGTATATGACCTAGATACAGAATCTATTCAGTGGTCAAGTCAAATTCAGTAAACTCAAGGGCAAGAAAACAATGAGAATCTCCATGAAAATGCCCATCACCTGGAAAAAGTCATTATATCATGCACAGAGCATATTACACCTCAAACACATCCTTTACTTTCTTTATGAGATCTTTTCTGAACAGTGTTTAGTGAGTGGCACCACGTAGGTTAGGAGGGAGCCCCGGGGGGGTTAATCAGGTAACAGACTGTGTATGATGATGACCATAACTCAAGCATATTTATCAATACCAGTAAACTTAACAATGGCGTTTACATAATTGAGCAGAGACCGGATATTTCTACACCTCGACCTTCCATGGGTTGTTCAGTTAGTTCAACACCTTTGAAACCTGGTTTAAGGTCATAGTCTACAGTGAATGGCGGCGGTACAAATTCTCCAATTTCTTCCTCGATGTTATTGGAATTAAGTATGCAGTTATCTGAAAAATAAATATAATTTCAGTATTTATTTGTAAAAAAATTATTATCACATATATATATATTTACTATTTTTGTATTAAATTGACCTTAACTAATTTACTTGAAATCTACACCTGTATTTGAATCCTTTGCATAAACAATTCTTTATGCCAGTTTGGTTAATAGGAAAACTAGCACCACCTTGCCCTAATGAGCTGTATGTCCTTGTTAGCTGTACTATTTTTAAGACCATGTTATAATGTAAATATTATACCTCAGAAGTATAAAAGGATTACTGTACTGAAGGGGGTGAGTATACAGAGTGCACATGACAATCTACTCATGTCATAATAGGATTTATGCATAAGTTTTATTTTAATCTTTCGAAGAGCATGTCAGTCTAGTCAAGATTTGGTGGTTTTTGATAAATGTGATGAGTTTTCTCATCAAGGCATTAATGTGCTGGATAGCAGCTTACTCCCCACATTTTCATTGAACCAGGCAGCAGAGGAAGTACTGTCGAGTTCAACATTATAGCTCTTGACTAATAGGTAGGACATTTAACTCCTTGCTCAGAGAAAGTTGATATAGCAATTCTCATCCCTTTCACCAAATTTCAACCAGAATCTGTCTTTCACAAGTAGTATTGAAGCACTTTTTTTAACCATTTACATCATATCATACCCATTGCGGTCAGCTTGAAGCAGGCGATAAAAAATTGGCATAAAACAATGAACTAATGTTTCCCATAAAGAGAAGCAGATTAAAACACAAAAACAATCTGCATATTAACAGAGCAAAGATATTGTACAACACACTTGGACAGTACTGTACAGTATGTATGCTAAGAGGAGACACTGCACACCTACAGTTTATGCCAAAGTTAACAGATAGGAGAACCTTCACCTCACACACACTCCCTACCCCAAATTCACCCACCTGAGTAATACCTGGTACCCTAAAAGTTGGAAAATGTGCTTTTAACCCTTAGGCCCCAGGTGACGTTCCAGAACGTCCGCCTATTTTTTCGCCATTTTTTTATTATTATATTTGGAAAAGTTGATTTTTCCTCGATTTAACCCCGCACGGGGGGAGGGGTTATTGCCAGCAGCACCCTAACCTGGGGCTTAAGGGTTAAGTTTGAGCAAAGAAGAAATGCACAGTTAGTGCTAAACTGAATTTTGATCTAACTTTAAGCGAGAAAGGGTGTAAATTTATTTTATTGCTAAACCAAATTAGCGCCATACGAGGAATACCTGTATAACACGAAAAGTCAAATTGATGTCTATGAGAAAGGTCAAACAGTATCAATGACGACTAAAATACAGTCCCAATCAAGATCTTACCTGGCTCATTCCTACCAAGTGTCATAAAAAATTAATTGAACACAAAAGAACATATACAGTACACTACTTACAAAAATTTATGTCTACAGACAGACAGACAGTTTGATTAATTCACACCGAGGCAAAAAATGCCATCATATAGCATTAATTTGAAGGTTATCAAACTATAAGAGCAACTCTAAAATATATCTTACCATTTTTCTTCTTTTCATTATTGTTTTCATTGTTATTATTAAGAGTTGGTTTGGACATATTTAACTTAATCTTTGTCATGGACGATTTCGTACGGGTCGTGTCCGGGGCGGAGAGCTCCGTGTTTCCATCGATAGAGCTGGCAATGTCTGTTTCTGCTGCGTTGACCGAGACTATTGGTGTCTCCCACATGTGATCATCATTACTCTGAAAACAGAAAATTTAAAGATATAAACCTTATTCAGGCAACATTTGGTTTACAAGTGATTTTTTTTAAAGATGAAAGTATTATACTGTTTCAAAAGACTGTAGAAATACTTGTGTATGTGATACTGTATTTACCTACTTGTGTAAGAACATAAATCAAATACTGTAAAACTAAAAGTATAAAGTGTTCTGAATTTCTACAAATGGACTTTTTTTAAAGTGCTAACCATAATTATTGTGATTACTTATCTCTGTACCAATAATTTCCTGTTTTGATCGTAACTCATGAAAAAAAAGTGGAAGTAATAAAAAGCTTAAAGCTGGGACACTACAGGGATCACTTTCAACCATCATTAATGTCGTCAAACTATCTGTTGATGAACAACTACAAGAAATAACAGTCTGGTATAGAAACCACAGAAATTTATAACTAAGAGAAGAAAGTTACAAATCATTTAAGTTTTCAATACTTCAGATTCAAGAAAATTGTATCAAACAAATAAAGAAAAAGTTGAGTTGACTGGGTGCCTGCCTGGCAGTGCTTGGTAGAATGGCTGACGATTTATTTACACTGCCTACAACACACTTGGTGAGTATTTAGAGAGGAAATATTAAATTGAACTTACTTTAACCAGTTTAACCCATCTAATATAACTAGTCTGAGTAACTGTAACTTCAGTGTGGAATTTCTCACATAAAAAGTTTCCATTTAACACTTTTCACGTTATTCTACACAATCCAGTATCACACGAATCCTGTGGCTATTACTTGACATCATTCTCAACTCTTCCAACACTAAAGTCACTGCCACCACCCATTTCTACATTATGAAGATCAATAACACAGCCCTTAGTTCATCAACTTCAGAAACAACAACAATTAACATCTTCAGTGACAACAACAATCATTTTATCTTCATCAGTGACAACAACAATCATTTTATCCTCATCAGTGACAACAACAATCATTTTATCCTCATCAGTGACAACAACAAACATCACATCATCAACAGTGACAACAACAGAACCTCAGCTCTAGACCATGACACTGAAGTTCCTGTTTCATTAATAGTTCATAGCCAACTAATATATCTCACCCCAGATCATGACCAATAGGACCACTCTATCCCCTGATTGTAAATATCAAACTCATATAAAAAGACAAATTTACATCACATCAATACAATTTTAATGCCCACTAGCCTTTTCAGTCTTGAGGATACAAGGATAAGCTCATGCCCATACTCAAAACTGAAGAGGGTGTTGGGGGGACATGAAAAATGGATCATGTCCAACAAAACCATTTGTATCCCAAAAAATTGTGATCTTCCAGGATCACCATATCTATTCCAGTGCAAGTTAATTCTCTGTCTATTAACCTCGGAGAGCAACGCGTCGATATCATCGTCCTCCTCGGGTGATCTGGAAAGGATATCATCTTCGTTGGATTCGGGGGGTTCCTTCTTCACTTCCTGCTTGATCATCATACCCTCTGGGAGAGACTGCAGGAGAACAGGGAAGGATATGCTCAATAGGTTGACTGACAAAATGGGAAATAAGTAATCATGTGCACAACAAAACTAAATGAATGATAAGGGGTTTGGAAACAGGGAAGCGACAAAGGTAATGGATGAAGCACCAAAGTAGAGGAAACAAAATAAAGAACTGTAATGATGATGGATAACAGGAGTCTTAAGGTGACAAGATGTTGACAAAAATTAAAGCTGGCATCCTCATTTACTTAAAATCATACAGGGTCACAATATGCAACTAATATTCAGACTTAACAAAGCAAAATTAAAATAATATCTATCCATCTGTAATGCAAATACCAAAGAATATATCCAATAAAAATTCTCTATATGTATCCTAATCTTGGTTTCATATCTAAATTCACCAAAAATGGCTAAATCCTCATGTCTGTAAGTCATTGTCATGGCAAACACCATGACACATCCCAGGCTTCTCCTCAGAAGTCCCAGGCCACACATTCCTCTGCTCTTACCGATGAAGTTACGCAGTCGAGGTCAATTTCTTCAACGTCCATTGGTTCCTCCTTGATCTGAACAGGCAGCTGCATCTCTTGTGACACTGCATCCACCTTCTCTGTCACTAGAATTATGGCACAAATTAAAAATATTTAGTCTATTTGTATATCTACATACTTCGTTTTCTATAATAATGCTAAGTAAATCACAATGAATAGTAGAGAGCCAGGATAATTAAAAAAATAAATAAAAAATAAAAAATACTAGAGTTCACGTGTGAGACAAAAGAAAGAGTTGTATTAGGAAAATTGGCTTCCAGTTAACTGAATCATGAAACTGATATACAGTTCTCTCAATATTTAAAAAAAAATTGGATACTGACACTCAAATGTAACCTGATATTACATACTTGTTCTGAGGGATACTTGAATAAATAAAAATTCAGCTCCTTGCATGTGATACAATCACTCATCTTCCATTTTGTTATGTAAATATAATTGCTTAGGAAAAAAAAAAAAAAAGAGGCTCACCTGAAGTTTGGGAATCCATTGGAGTTTCTTCCGAGTCTCCGTCCACAGCCTTCTGTTTATCTTTATCGGCCTTTTCTCCCTCTTGTTCATCCTCCTTCCCTCCCTCTTTTTCTTCTTCTTTATTTCCTTCTTCCTCCACTGGCATCTCTTCTCCTTTCTCTTCTTCCTCCTCTTTCTCCAGCTTACTCTTCTCTTCTTCCTCCTCTTTCTCCAGCTTACTCTTCTCTTCTTCTTCTTTCTCTTGTTTTTCCTTTTCTTCCTTTTCCTTCTCAGCTGCCTCAGCCTATATGAAGAGACAAAATACACAATAATTAGCCAAAAACATAACTTGCTTTTGAAAAGTCGCTTCAATTATTTTCTAAGATACTGGCAATATTTTTTTTGTGTAACAGACATACTACATACATGAATAATACACAGAGAAAGGTACAACTCCATCCACATGCCAAGTAAGTGAATGTATTAGTCTATTACAATAAATAAATAATGGCCAAGTGTTTAGCTCTACTGTGCAGAGGAAATAAATGAAGTAAACAAAGTTTAGAAAACAAAATTTCTTACCTTCTGTTTTTGATTAGGATCCAAATGCAAGAGAAATCAGACATATAAGTACAGTATAAAATTTAGATTTAGTGATGCTCTTAGCTTTATTATATTCTTAATAATGAAAAGGTGAATGTGTACAAAAAAAAAAAACAATGATAAATAAAATGAACTTAACAAGCTAACTTTTTCTCTCCCAACATGTGAATTGTGCTGCCTACCTCCACCTATATCCTTACTGTATACACCTCGGCACACTCCGTCATTCTCACTCGCTCTGTTACCTTTACACAGAGGTAGTACCACTTGGTGATCTTTTCTCTAGACATACAGTAAATAGGTAAAAGGCAGCTAAATCTTACTGTTCCAAATTTAATGTTATGCATTTTGCTGCAAACTACAATTATGGTTGTCTATCAACCGATACACATTATTTCCTCTTAGTGGCGACACACACAAAATCTTAAAATTGAGGCATACTATACTATCTTCCTCTACAGTTTTTGATGTGCTCCCTTCTGGATCTGAAGGGTGGCCTTTGTACAATTTCGGAAATATTTCAGCCAGTACTGTACTGTACGAACTTGCATTTGTAGGTGAATTCTATATCTTAATTTGCTATGACATTAATAGTGCAGTGATCATCTATTGGTGCCACGACAAGTCAAGGCAAACGTTGCTGAGCTACTCATTGCGTGCTCCTCTAAATGTACTATACAAGTATTCTCTATAAGCTGGTGGATGTTTTTATAACCACTGAAAATGAGAAGGTTAAGTACAACAGAAATTACTTTATGCCTCACTTCTCTTCAGCAATTTCCTCTTAGTCCTTCAACCGTTTCACCCAAGAGCCAAGACATTCAGGTTCATATTCAGAATTTCCTGAATCGCTCTCTACTTCTCACCATTATTACATCCTCCAACCCTCAAACACTTGAGTCATTTAGTCTTGTTTCTTCTGGGTAATAATGGTACAGAGAGTGAGGCTACCATTCCCTTGCCTACAGTGTTGTTGATGTGATATAATATGCCAATAACTACTAACTCCATCACTTCTTACTCCCATCCCCACCCACCAGAGCCCAGAGTTCATCAAAGGGAATTCCTCTCTCTTATATCTATTCCTAAAGGTTGGTGTCAAAGTAAACACAGGTAATCCAAGGACCAAGAAGACTGCCAACTATCCAATGCCAAAGATGACAAGCCAAGTGATTTAGTGAGGGCACAATGAACCTCCTGTCTTAACCCCTTATCTCCCCACCAGAGAAGCATGTTGCCAGCCTGGCAGGTAACTGCAGCTCCAAGGTAAACTCAGCTTCCAGACAGAGAGAAGTAGGGGCTACACGGGTCTCTATGCACAACAAACCCATCCTAAACATAAGGGTACAGTACAGTGTTTTCTTTTATAATTTCTATCCATACTTCTACTTACTCTTAGCATATCCTGGTGACAAGCTGGGTGGTAGTTGATCCCATCAATTTGGATAGCATTATGGAATCTCCACTCTTCTGTCTCCTGATGGAAGAATTGGGAAAAGGTGTCATGGCAAGTGGGACACACCCCCAAGTTTGCCTCTGAAGAAACAGCTACACTCGGTTCTTCAGATTCTTCGGCCTCAATGGCTTCATCAAGGCCCTCATTTTCAAACATACTCGGCACTGTTAAAATAAAATGTACATCAGGTATAAGTATACTTTCTATTTCTGAGAATGATCTTGCTCAATAATGGAAAAAATGTATATTTTAGCATTACATTATTCAAAGTAACCCTCACAAGATAGAATTGCCCCTATGTCTTTCTTGATTAGAAATTTACATCAGGACTTACCTCTCTCTTCAACATCTTCAATTTCCTCATACTGTAACCAATCTTGGGTGGAAAAGTAGAACTTGCGAGTGTTTGCTTTCTTGGTTGACTCTTGTTGACGTCTGTTCTGTCGGAAATGCCAGTCCAGATGATGGGAGTACTGGAGGGTTTGTTCAGGAGGATAACGTAGCCCACATGATGAACACTGCATCCCTCGGTATATAGATTCAATGAGCCATTTCCTTCGCCTGCAAAATAATGCACAAAAAATTATGATTTTCATCAGGTAATGATGTTGATGCCACTTTTACCATTTTATTTGGCTAGTGCTACATGATTTTATTCAGCAATGGGGACCCAGTACATATGTGGTTAATTCCTTATGCCTGGGTGGGGTGACTGTTACATTCTAAGTCTAAATAAACACTACAGACTCTGCTAGTTATTTCAAATAAACTTTTTCCACTTGTCTGCAGCATGAACTGGGTATTTTAAATGTTTATAAATCTGATCATAAAACTGTGTACAGTATTCATACAATTAAAAATAACTGTCAAATTATAATACTCAAGAGAGTATCCCATATTTTGTTTAAAAATAGCAATCTCAACCCCACTGCTTCCCAGTCTATCTACTCACCTATTCCTTAATTTTTATAATATTCTACAATATATCTACCTCCATTACTCTAATTTAATACAAGGTAATGAAGGAATTAATCCAACACTTACCTTCGGAGATTTTCGGAGTTGAACATAAATTCAAACGAAATTAATTCGTCCCTTTCTCTCTCCTTTTCTTCCTCTTCCTCTTCCTTTTTCTTCTCAATTTCATCCTTTTTATTCTTTGATTTATCTTGAGCCTTGGCATCGATGAGGCCAGTACGCGTCAAGTTCTCCAAGAGAGCGTTAAGGTCAAGTTGCACAGGTGGAGGTGGCTGCGAGGGTTTTATCAAAGATGGTGGTAACTGACTGGTCATGTAGGAGCCTGGGATGGCACTGGGAGGAGGATGACTCATGTTGGGAAGTGTAACAGGTAGAGAAGTTGTCAGCATTGATTGTGGGGGCAGCTGGGTGACCATACTCGTTACTGTTATCATCCCTGCTGGTAGAGGTACTGTAGGTGGAGCCTGAGACAGCAGAGGAGTATGTGATGAAGGAACTTGTGGTGGTGGGCCTGTAGGGAGAGAGCCCTGATGTAGAGGCCCATGAGGTGGAGGACCCTGTGGTGGAGGTCCTTGTGGTGGAGGTCCTTGTGGTGGTGGACCCTGTGGTGGAGGACCCGTCATTATAGGTCTTTGTGGTGGTATTCCTTGTGGAAGGCTCTGTGATGTTGGTATCTTTGAAGGAGGTCCTTGGAGAGGCACAAAAATTCCTTCTGGTGCAGCTGATATTCCCATTGAAGGATGTGAGACTCCTTTGTTTGAGGATTTGTCCTGAGGGTACCCAACTGGAGGTTTATGAGACATCTCCAGAGAAGGTGATCCTCTGTTAGGTTTCATTCCAGTTTCTACAACCTTGTCTTGTGCTGGACTACCTGGCAAGCTTGATAGCTTTTGATTCTCACTCTCCATCCCTCGAATGGCTACTTGTCCTGGAACAACACCCGGGGGCAATGATGTGAATCGCAGGAAACGCCTGTAACCACGCACACTGATGCTGAGAGGTAGTCCTCCAAACTCAACTGGAAATCTGATATTGTTTATGGTTACAGCCCTGAGAGCATCAATAAACTGAATGACAAAAGGTTTGCCATCAATGAAGAAACGCTGTGGCTTGGCATCCAAAAAGAGATTGACTACTTTTTTTGCATTTATAACAAGCTGGATTTTACCAGCAAGAAATTCTCTGTTAGCTACAGGACCTATATTTACATTTGGGGGCTTGCCGTCCAGGCTGACAGTACGAGGTTGCCCAGCCAAGTGAACAGTTATGGGCTTGCCACCAAAGAAACACTGATAGCCTCTACCATCTAGCATTAACTCTTGTGTAGGTACTCCAAGTTTGACATGATGAGTCTCTCCAGCAATTGAGAATTCCTTGTAATCTTCCCTTATTCTCATTGGTAAAACAAACTTTCCTTCATCAAAGACAATATTGCAATGTCCATCTCCAAAAGTCAGAATACGAGGGTCATTCCAATCCAGGAGAATAATAGCATTTTCTCCATATGTACGTATCTCCCGAGGTATACCGTCAATATCAATGGTTCTAGTTTCAGCATCTCGAGCTACGGCCTTCAAAGTCTCTTCAGCCACATAAGGTAGATCTGGTTCACCTGTCCACTCATCCTCCAGTACTGATTCTCTCACAGGCCAACTACGGTCATCTTGTTGGTGTCCGCCTCTTCCCCTTCTGCCTCTTCCTCTTATCCCTCCTCTTCCCCATCCATCATCTTCTATTCCAGGTCCTCCTCTACCAGCTCTTCCCATGCCTCGTGCTGCAGGAGAGACAGTAGGCCCCATGAAAGTACCCCGGCCACCCCTTGATCCCGTAGTGAAGGGTAAGTGGCCATCGCGACTGCCTCGTCCTCGCCCCAGGCTAGGAATATTACTAGGGCTTAGACCAGAGACACCTGGACCAATGCAGCCTGCACCTGGTGGTGGTCCACTACTTGACACAGAAGCTGGGCTATCACCTCCACTTGACCAGCTTCCATTTCCTGTTGAAAGATAACATAACTACAGAATGTGAATCCTGGCCCAAAATATGAAATCACTCACATAATGGTTTAAATTATTCAGAAGTAATAAAATCATGAACATCAAACTTAACCTGTTTCTCCAAACATTCTCCTGTACAGTTCAGCACTTCCCTCATGAATGCTATTCCCCAGCACAGACTATCATACTATTACTTCTACATCAAAATGCTTCCTAATGTATCCTTTCACTTCATTCTCATAACATTAGAAAAAAAACACAGTTCATGCCAAAGGAAGAACACCCTCATTCTACATCACAGTAAGTTTTGCCCAACAAGCAGATAAATGTCCTGGATAGAACAATGTCTATATAATCAACACAATCAAATTCCACCTCGCACTCAAAGGCTTAGGAGGCACAAATTATTTCACACAAGGTAACAAGTTAGCAATGCAGCCGACTTACCTGAAAAATGTGACTGTGACGAACTTCTGGGGTGAAGTCTCTCCCTCTCCCGTGCCTCCCTGATCTGTTCTTGTTCTGTTAGTAGCCGGAGCTTGTTGGCCATGTTCTGGTACTGATTCTCACTGATCTCACCACGATCCCTCTGCTCCAGGGCCTGCTTCAGTATCATCTGTTTACAAGAAATATCTGCCCTCAATAATCGAACTAACAACTATGTATTGATAAATTGTGAAAAACTTTGAGTCAACGAATTCACCCTTTAGAAATGCAAAACTAACAAATTGTGGAAGACATTTTTTTACAGTAATATATTCTTTAATTCCACCCTGTACTCCTCTCTCCCTCCATTTCTTCCCTACTTGAGCTTTGTTTCTCATAAGTCCATCTTACTGACAATGAGACACTGCAGGTCTACATTAACACAATGACAAAACACCAAACAATTTTGAAGGAAACTTTAATACTGTATATAAAATGAGATATATCTCATCAGGGAACTTGAATAAATTAAAATAAAAACAATTATGAAGGGAACTCTCCAAAAATAAATATTAATACATGTAATAAACAATAAATACGGACTTACAGTACTGTACGTGTGGCCAGTTTTGGATGATCATATAAGTGAAAAATTTTGTGCCAGGACAAATGGAGTCAGTTGTGGAATTTCAAAACAAATGGATTTTTAGGTCAAGAATTCTCAGAACATTGGAACGCACCTTAAAGTTTTCCTGTGCAGCTTTACTCCGCCCTTGAAACCTAACACCATCTTCTTCTTCTTCACCCCATAGCCGCCTCCCATCTGTTAAGTGAAAGCAAAATTTCAACTTTCTTATTGACAAGTAAATGTACTACTATATCCTAGTTTAACATACTTAACAAACTAAAAGGCTTTTTAATTTTTTTTTATTCTGAACTTTCAAACTTCATCATCCTTCAAATATGTAAAACATAAAACATCATTTCACACTCAGAAACTTACCCCTGTGTCTTCCCTGTGCTGCATCACTGGAGTCTTCGTACCCTCTACTTCTAAAGCTGCGTCCTCGGATTGGGGGTCCACTATGGCTCTCACAGAAAGGCATATCTTGATCCTCCTCGTCTACGTTGAAACTTCTGTCGGCCTCTGCAACAAAATCGATCCTGAGTGAACCATCTTTAACATTCGCAAATTTTTGGTACTAAAAAGTAAATTGTTCACATGCAAATTCAGTATTGCAGAGGCTGGCATTTGTAAGGGATGACTGTACAGTATTTAAGTCCTAACTCTAGGACACTCACCTGACATGCTGGCCTGTCTCTGGTATTCTTTAAACTCTGGGTTCTTCTCCCTGAACTTCTCCCAAGATGCAGCATGAGGGCTGTTAAAGCTATGTTTCCTTGAGCGGGGGTCAATGGGGCACACAGCTGGACTATCAATGCCTGGAGGACCCAACACTCCTTTAGGATGAGAAATATTGGCATCTTGATCTGAAGTGCTAAGAGGTGCTAGAGGATCACGAGACGAGTGATCCAGACTGCCAGGGTTACGGTCATCTTGGTCCATCATCTTAAATGCCGCTGGGAGTCCTGGGGTGGGTAGAAGCCCAGGACGAGGCAAGAGTTGGCGGTAGTCCACGTCCTTCTTGCTGAACAGTCTGTAAAATGGCACAAGTTACTGTATACTCATACACACAAAAATGGTAATTTGGGTCTATTACATTTATCAGCACCTCACTGGTTGTAGAGGTGTTGTTTTTTCTTGCACCAATTATCTCAGCTTGTACCTCCACAAATTCGATCACCCACAAAGTCCCTCAGTGCCTCACTCTAACCACCACCACCACCACCACAATTGATAATTAAGCAATAAATCACTGAACTTCATAGCAACTCTATCAAATGGCTTTATTGTACGTTCATCTACGAAAAGGTAAACTTAATTAATGAGATTCTACTTTACAGAAGAGAGAGAGAGGATTGGAATATGAAATCCCATTTAGTGGCTGTGTGGAAAAAACAGGTGAACCATTAGCACAGCTTGACTTGTCCATGCAGTTACCCATGTTCTGAGACAGGGATGTTGTCCTGTCTGATCAGTGTAAAGGGCTATCTCATATAGCTAGTTGCCCAATCAAACCAAGGTGTACGCAGCAAGCTCCAGCCTTAATCTGGTGGTTGCTTTGAAAGCAAAGTCCACAGGGAAACATCCAGAACTATTTACAGGACCTGACAAGTATTTAGAGAGGAAATACTTTATAGTATCTATTTTCTTGTAGCAACCCATACCAAGAGTGAGTTTAATAAGACAAAATCAGTGAAATTACAAAACCAATGACAATATGAGGTTGAAATCATCATGCAGCTGACAGTCCCACTGCTTTGTTTTCAACTAAAACAAAGGGATCACACATTTTCTAGAAAATGGGGCAAAAACCATTAGCCAATATGTTAAGGGCAATATTACCCCCTTAGTATGAATTTAACCCCTTCATCAAGGGGACACAACTTTTAATATTTTATTTGACTTACATCAGACTATTTTATTCGGCTCAGAACGGAGCCTGTACACAAGGGGGTTAAATACATTAGAAAAGGACCAACAATCTACTTCCCAACAAGAGGTTGATAAAACATGAACTGGTAGAGCCATTATACTGTACATGGATAAGCAATTAAGCATATATATACCTGGGGAATGTCTGCCTTGCACCTGACATACTATCAGGAATCCATTAGGGTCATACATACTGTACAGACAACATTAGGACCAACACAGTGAATAAACAAGATGACATATCAGCCACAGTACAGCCTAAAAGGATGCATAAAAGCAGAGTAACAAATGAAGGTCAACAACATGAGGTAATTAAAATGTTTCTTAACCCAAGTTCTGAACTGAGAGGTTCATGTCAGATATTTTAATTCAAGGTTGGCTCATTGGCTTTCAAAGCAGCCACTGGACGAGGGCCAAAACTCAAACCCTAGTTTGACTGAGTGAGCAGCTGCTTACACAGTAATTTACACTGATGCATCAGGACAATGTTGCTGCCTCAGAATCAAGACTAGTCTTTTTCTAAGGCAGGTTTCATGGGATGTTCTGGTAGGTATAACCAAACAAAGTCACTTGCCAAATAACCCAAATATGTTGCTAAACAGCTTGCCATAAATATGGAATTTATTAAATCAACACCATTAAAAATGTATGAGCAATTTTCCACATTTGCATGGGTTAGCCAAATGGAATTTACTAAATAGAGTATCAAGAGGAAATTAGAACAGATAGAAGCCTTTAGAGAAGAGCTGTTTTAGAGGTGTAGAAGCTAATCATGCAGATTCCTTTCAACCTGTACAGTAAGTCTAAATCCTAGCAAGGAATAATTATTACAATAAACCCTTATTATTTCACACCAATAAAAACAACATACAGTACAAAAAAAAATATATTTTTAAATGGGTCACTGCATCCACAGAGATTACACATCAAAAACTTGTGTAACTGTCCTCAATGCTTGTATTTCCGATCATTAATTACTGGACAACTTAATTAATCTACACTAAATTATAAGTAGTACACTACAGGTGTTACTGTATTACAATGAAACCCAATATTAATGGACTAAATACACTATACAGGGAATGAGTGGTAAACGACTGGTTGGCCCATTGTTTGACATTTGAATTTTTGTTTTTTTATACAATTGCAATCAGACTTTCTGTGCATGCATTTACATTTTACTTTACTCAGTCCATCACATATACCGTACAGTATACATACTGTACAGCAGAGACAGTGAAGCAGTAAGAGTGTTGGGAGTGTGGGTTGCCAGACCATCCATACATGTTCACCAGCCTTTATCACCGACACATTAATAAACAGTTCAATTATTATTTAGAAAAGTTTCATTACCGTATGCTTAATTTGCCATTTTACTGTACAACTGAAGCTATATAAGTTATAACACTATATATACTGTACAGGACACTTGGTGTCTGTGTCTCCTGTACCTTGGTCCTTATGTTATCAATATAAAATGTATTCACAGCCTCAGATAACAATAAGGGTTTACTGTAGGGTGAAATGCACCAAGTTTATGTGATATCAACCCAATTTAAATGTAAGAAACAAGCATGGACATTCCCTTTGTAGTCCTTAACTGAGATTTGAAGACTCCCAAGTAACAGTTTTTAAAATATCTATCAAATACAGTATCTTAAAAATATTCTTATATCAATCAACATCCCAACAACAATTGTTCCAAAATATTAAAGATCATAATTATGTTATGTGTGGAGCAATGTTTTAATAAAGAAAAGTTTCTACTGATACAACTACTGTAGTACTGTTCACTCAACTGTCTGTCCACAATCAGTCATTTCATACATTTAAAATTGGTACTATAACCTACAAAGAATATTTCCATTGTCAACAAGAACATAAATGGAGACATTAATTTCCTTTTACCAAAGCTACCTAACCCTCGGCAGCGGAAAGCCTTTCTTCCACCCCGGAGCTTCCAAATACCCCAGCCAGCCACCACAACAAAGGCACTCTTAACATCTTACCCAAGCTCTTGTTGACCCTCAGTCAGTTTCCTGTAAAACAAAGGTGCAAAAAACATATGTTGGTGATTACATATGACTAGTGCAGCAGTATCACACACCACAAACACTCCTCTAATAAAACAGGTAAGTGCAGTAACTTGCAAAATAATCCCAAAACAGTCCACTTTTGTACAGTTATAAAATAAGTCACTAAACATTTGTTTCTTAAAAGTGATGTACAGTAGTTGATACTGTATTTCGGAGTGTTGATCAAAATATTTACTTTCTAAGCGATGTGAAAATCCTAAGAGAAAACATTTAAACTACCCGATAAAGTACAGTACGAGACAGAAAACTGTATTATGATGTTTATTTCCTCGAAAAGCTTAAATTTCTACAGTATATTTTCATTAAATAAATACTGTACTGAAGAACAAAAGTACAGTACAGTAATACCCATGTTTCATCTAACGGACCCACTATATAACAGACTTTCCTCTCCACATAGTTCGTTATATAGAGGTTTCAGTGTACTGTACATTCACAACTCTTCATTAGTTAGATAAAATATTTTCAAATCTCTTCTGTTACTACAGTTTGCGTTCAATTCCTCTAATACAGTACTGCCAGTCAAATTCACATTATGTCTTTGCGAGTTTAATCTTTTACACCTAAGATAAAACTATTCATACCCAGAACTTTAAATCATATGAAAACAATAACATAACTGAATAAAAATAATAATGTCAACCAATAACATAATTTTTTTTAGTTTTTCTTTCTATTTAACGTACTATCGTCAATGTCTTAAAGCAACAATAGATGCCAGCTGCTACAACACATGACATACAATATCCAGAACAAAACATTTAAAAGAAAGTGCCGTGACAGACAGTTTTACCCCCCTAACTACATACCTACCGACTCCATCAACACAATACAATACAGTCATCCCTCGGTTAACGAATTACCTTCCATAAGATTCTTCACTTCGGTTAACGAAAAAATCTCGGTTAACGAATTCCTTAAGAATTTTTCCCATTTGAGTAAATATCAAGAACACTGTACTATTCAATAATTTTAAAAGTTTTATATTAATTTTTTTAGTCATTTTAACAATTATTGAACATAATTTAAGTACAGGAAACTATTTTTTTGTGCGCCAAACAGCCACTCAACACACCAAGCTTGGCATCAGTTTGTTTATCGGTTCAGAGGAAGGAACATCTTGTTTGAGACTCTTCAGCATAAACGCTTTTTTTCTGTGTTTCCAGTCAAATTATTGGTCATTTTGAAGTTTATTTTACATATTGACAATATATAATGCAGTGCAGTGTTGATTTAAAGAAAATAATCTTGAATTACACCAAGTGAACTAAAATTTTATGGGTGAAATGGCGGCATGAAGCATGGGGTGACTTCACTTCCCCACCTACTGCCTTCTCTTCTCCCTTCTCCTCCACCCCCATTCTAATTCCCTATCATCATCATCAAGTTTACTTTACTGCATTTATTTTTAGTTTGTATGTAATTTTCGGTGAGCTGGAACCAATTACCCAAAATCCCATTGAAACAATGGTATCGGTTAAAAAAAAACTTGGTTAATGAACGACCTTCTGAAAAGAATTGTGTTCGTTAAACGAGGGACCACTGTACATAGATTTATTCCGACTCTGAGCTTTATTTCCCTTTGGTGTAGGTAATTTACATATCATTAAATAGTAGCGGTTATCTCAACCTCTCCCCCTTGTCCTGGAGGCTGGCTCATGTAAGGGACCAGTTAAACTTAAGCTTAACCTAACCATACCATTAGGATTACATCTCATTTGACCAGTCCCTTCATGTACTGTCTCCATATATGACTCCTACAAAAGTGTGGAGAAACATTTCATTACACTAAATTTGCTTATCAAATATGCATATGTAAAATATAAAAAAAGGTGTTAATGGAAGACAAAGAGCAGGATTCCCTTTTATGGCTGAGGAGACAAAAAGAGACATGTGAAACAATTGTAACAGTATCAGCATCTCATAGGAAGAACCTGGCATTGTCCATAATGAATGTAGTGCTAGGGATACTGTACTATCTTAATACACATTGCAGCTTTCTCACTCAGATAAATTCATACAAATCTGGGAATTACCTCAGTGAGACTTTATGAATGACTTCACAAAACCAACAGTTAAACAAATAAGCTTCAAATACTGTATGATTTTTTTAAATGAAGAAAACAGACTGAAGGTGAACTTATTCTTCCAGTAAGCAAAAGATTCAGGATCTATATAGAGTACATGTTTCAACCTTATTCCCCCAATCCCTAAAAATAATCTAGAGGCTCATTAACTCCTTTTGTCGGACAAGCAATTTTTTTACTTTATCGGCCTCAATGGTTCCAGGCAATCACCAGACTCATAAGGATACAGCCCGGTGAGAAGGCCGCCATGCTTTATCACTTATTACACTGTACAGTATCTACTACGATACTGAACCTGTTGCCAAGCACTGCACATCTTACAGGTAAATGACAGACTCTATCTGTGAGGTGTTTTGCAATAGTATGTCTCAAAAGAAGATGCACAGGCAATTAAAAAAAATCCACTTGAATATTTCAAACTTGCGAGTTACATCTTCCACGTAATGTAAATTCTTCTTAAGAAACAAAATTTACATGCCACTATAACTCAAATATTACAAAAGATTACTTACTCATCAATAATGGTGTCCTTCTTTGGCGGAGAGACATTTTCGTTGGTGGCAGGCCGTTTAGGAGGAGAGGTGAACTGGCGGTAGTCAGTGTCCCCGATACCTGTTGTTGATGTGGCGGGGCTGCTGACTTCTGGTTTCTTTGCTGAAATGCAGTTTATGGTTGTTGGCACAGGGCAAGGATTGCACTTACTTTAGGACTCCAGCATGAAGTGAGTTAGACAATGTAAGATTTTAAAAGCATTTGTATTCAATCCTTGACCTTTACACATAGAGACACAAAGGAGACTAAAGGTATAATATTTACATCAAAGGATTTTGAACAGAAATGTCAACAATGGCTCATTTTCACCAGGTAGGTTAGGTTCTTCCTTTGTAGATAAAAAAATACTAGTTCAACCGATAGCACCAACTCTTTAACTGAACCTAACACTCATGATATTTTTCCTAAAGTCAGGGAATCAAAATACAAAACTAAGACAGGAACTAAAGAAGAGTTTTGGATTCTGATGACCTAGTTTTATTAACCCTTTAAGACTGTGCCTGCAGCTGGGGGCAAAAACACCTACATAAGACTTGTGTGAGGCATCTCTCAGGCTGTAGGTGTTATGCCCCTCAGAGGTAAAGAGTTAATAAAAAATAAGGATGCATTATCATATGTAAACAGTTGTGATACACTGCATTATTGCACATCAATATTTTGCACATCACATCATTAAAAACAAATTTCAACAATAAACTGCTTCTCACGGCTCAAAACAATCTCCCTCTCCTAAAACACGCACTCACAGAGTAACACAAACTATACATAAACCAGTACTATATTAAGAGTATCTACAACAGCATTCTACACATCCACTTTGACAATGCAAGACATTTTTCCAATCTCATTCACTTACAGTAGTCTCTCTCTCTCTCCTCACTAAGTACCTTTCTCACCTTACAGCTCTCCCTCTTTCCCTTTATAACCCTGTATCTCTCCTCCTCTCCCTCCCACTGTTCATTATCTCACCTCCCATCTTTCTCCCTTGTCCTAACCCCCCCCCTTCTCATCCTATCCTCTTCTCCCTGCCCGCCACTATCTACATCACCCTCTCGTTACTTCTCCTTCCCCCTTTATATCCTGCCACCCACCTCTCTCTCTCTTCTTACCCAAAAGTCACACACCCATATTATTAAACAAAGTCTTCCCTTGAAGAGGGTCGTCGTGTTTCAACCCGAGTTTTAAACTAAATGAGTCCTGAGGGATACCGCAGTACAGTACGGGGTGGTGTGGCGGTAAAATCAACAAATTCCAATATTATAAATTAATTTTATTGGAATTAGCTAATTTTACCGCCACACCACCCCGTTAAGCACTGTACTGCGGTGTCCCTCAGGACTCATTTAGTTTAAAACTCGGGTTGAAACACGAGGACCCTCTTCAAGAGAAGACTTTGTTTAATAATACAGGCATCAACCTTCTCCACACCTCACTCTCTCTCTTCCTCCTGCCTACATACCTTACTATTGCTAAGATAAAAACAAAACATCTTAATATGTAAAGTAAAAATAACATTGACAAAGTACAGTACTTATTAAATCACAAAGTTTCACAATAACAATATTCAATCCTAGTATATTGATCTAACAAAGTCCCTGTGATATTTTTTGGCATTTTTTCTCCAAATTTAAAGCAAATGTATTTGAGACTGTTCTTCTTCATAAAATTGTCTATCTGTTACACCAATAAGACTGAAATTGACCAATACACTGTACAATATATTTACTTTTTAAGATCACTACACATTAATACATCTATAGACAAATTTTATGCAATCATGCGAGTCATACTGACACTATATACATAAAACAAATGATTGTAAAATATTATAAAATTTTATTTCACCAAAATGAACGAAGACAGCCACATGCTACCGTACACATCCCAACCAGCACCATGTTGACCCAAGCCTTGTGTAAGTATCCGTGGGAATGAAAACTGAAATCAAACTTGTTCTGTTGCCACAGGAAATACAGTTTCTTGAACAAAAGTAATGTCCCACAAGGACCTTCTTCCAATCATCACAGTTCTCCACACAGTCATCCATGACGGCTGTCTTCAGGCTCCAGTACAGTACAGTAACCCTTCACTTTATATTCTACAAGGTTAGGATTACCTTCTAGGAGATAGGATGAACAAAAGCCAAGAAGCAATCAATATATTTCTATGAACTTTGTCTTTCTTCTTACTTTGTCAAGTTGTCAAAAATGAAACCACTGGTTACCATCATTCAACACTCAGGGAGACACAGACAGGCATATATGTGATAATTATACAGTCATACTGTATAATTATAAAATCCATGTCCAAGAGGACACGTTAGTACGTACGATGTGCCCCTGACTCCAGCACATTTCCTCACAAAAACTAACATTATATTGGCATAAAAAATACCAACAATATATTTCTAGTGAATTTCCATATGTAAATAATAAATTAAAATAAAAAAAGTAGGATTTGGGTTCGAACTAGCTTTTGTTAATATTGTACAGCATAATTATACAAAAGGCAGTTATGTATGAGTTGTGGTAATGTGGTAAGCTTAGAAATTACCCCAGCAATGAATATAAAGTGTTTAAGAGTATTGTGGAGAATGACGAAGAGAGACAACAAAAAGGTGTGTTTAAGGCAGCCAAAGCTCATGTCTGCGAGTTAGTAATGAATGTACAGTGCTGTACAGTATAAAGAACAGAGATGTGCTTTTGGTAGTAGCTGTCTCATAAAATGTGTTACAAGTCAATAGTGTGTGTGTGTGTGTTATAACCGAGACAAAATATATGATATGTTTAGAGACAATTTTCACAAAGTAAACTTCTGTAGTGTGAGAACTGAACAACTGATAGACTAAAAAATATATACATATTTGTTATGATTTAGAAATTTTGGTGCTTCAATACTTTTCTTCAGACTAACTTGAGGTGCATTACTTATACCTCGAGTAGAGCAAAATGTAAAGGAAACATTGAGAGTACGGGGGAGGGAATACACAATGGTTCTGAATGTATAACTTGGTGCTTGCTTAAATGGTATACAACACTAGCATATGCGGGATCAAGGCAAACCACCGTGCTCTTTAACCATATGTTACCGTATCACTCTGTTGTGTCACTAAGCAATGGTAATATGTACAGTGGCTGGCACGTTATGTGAGATGTGGCAACTGTAGAATGTTTATCTAGCATCCTTAGTCTGGCTACTATTGTGATGTTCATTGGGGCCATTTTGGGAGTTTTAATACAATGTAAACAAACAAGAAGCTGCCACATCTCATAAAATGCATCAGCCACTGTACCAGGTATAAGGTGCAGGTGACTGTACTAACCAGTTCACAGCTTTTATTCTAATAACTATGAAATCCATAATGAAAAGTTTTATGACCTTTACATTCAGAAAGAGCTAGACTAATATGCCATTAACAAGTAACATCACTTTAGCCATAATACAAGAGAAGAACTATATCAAATAATTGTTTCAAATATTTCTTCAGAAATGAAACATTAAATTTCTCATAATTCTAGTAAATGTATTTCTCAATTATCTTCAATCAAAACTTTTGCAGTGCCAAAATAATCCCCAAATAAATACTAAAGTGATAACAATGTGAATGAAATACATAAAAATCACTCCACAAGTACCAACCATACTATGAAATAGTTTAGCAAATTTAGTTCCAGGAGACAACTGCACCTCCATACTAACAAAAAAATCCATAATTTAACCCATAATTCTGATAAGATTCAAGTTGCATATTCATTTACAAACATTTCATCTACAAATCACCGTCATTCCTGCAAATTCAAGAAATATTAATTAGCTAGTTTCTCCGACATAACACCTAAGAAAAATAAAACCTTGACAAAAATATTCAATGCATTTTCATAAATATTTTTCATGTGAAATTTATATACCCACTTGAGGACTCCAAATGATTTGGACCTTCATTTGCATATGTTTCAAGTGTCTTAAATTTATATACAGCAGGCAGTGTGACACAGTGAGGGGTGGCAGGGTGAGTGGATGAGTGTGTGGAGCCATTCACGTGACACACTCAGTACCAATAACTATCACACCAGAAAATTACAAAATTACTACTAATTGATATCTTGAATCTACTAGAGCCCACGCCAGTAATGGCTGACTTCAATACATCACATTTCCTTATACAGTATTGTTATATCAGCTTTGTGTCTGTATTTCCCTACATTCAGCACTTAACAAATTCCAGTGACCCAAACATTGTTAGTTAAAGATCTGTCTGCACACATCTGGTGTGCTTGCCACATGCAACAAGTGAACACTAAGTGCCCCAAAAATATTTGCAAAAAAGTGACATTTCCACAAGGGCCCTACAGTACAGTAGAGTGATTTTTGACAATGTACTCCAGAATTTTGCAGACAATATACAATAAGTAAACTTATGAAATACCATATAAAGATGTTTCATTACAATTACATTAAATGGTTGTGAAAATATAGAGCAGACATAACTGGTAGCAGAGAGAAAGATAAATAAACAGATGGACACAGACATGTTGATTACTATGATTCTCACACCCTGGCTGCAGGGCCCCAATGAACTGTCTTATATGAAGGAAAAAGTGGTGAAGTGGGAATAAACAAAGTATTACGATTGGCATTAGAAATTACATTAGCAATTCTTAAAAATTTCATTTTGATTACATATAAAATATTTCCAAGTACAGTAACATATATATTTGTTTTTCCACAATAATCCGGAGCTGCCCAAGTCACGAGCAAACATTCGCACATATTTATTGGAAACGATGCTCTGTTCATACACACTGTTGCCATAACTTCCAGTGTATCCTTCACCCTAGTCCTCCATGTGTACTGTACGTGTACTAGTATTTCACTGCTCCCTACTACAGGTATTCTTCTTTATTCTGTATTTCTCAAACTCCATCCTATTTACCCCATACATTGCTCTCAAGCAAGTCATTTGTCAATTCTATTCTGCTCATTCTTCCTGCATTTAAAATCCATCCTTCACACCCACATAATACATGTACACACACACATTAGTTAATCTATGTAACTGACCATTTAACTATGAATGAAACATATTTAGGCAATTTAGTAGC